AATCTTGCTCCTCAGTGTGTTCTTTTGACTTTGTTGATTTGCTTCACCGGCTTCATATAGACTTGGTGCTTTGTATTGATAAATGATGGGGGGAGCAGCCAACAGCTTACAAAATAAAATTTCTCTTTGTTTTCTCTTGCCTCAGTTCTGCCCCTGTTCCCCTAGCTTCATCTATTTCAGTGTTGGCTTCAGGTGTAGTGGAACTTGTGGTGCTGGTGTAGGCTGGCACTGCAGGGATGCTGCATTTCCATGAGCACCCTCAGAAGCTAGCACTGCTTCTGGCCTTCCATCCTTGTCCTCCTGTCACCTCCTGACTGCACCCACACTGGTATTTGTATGAGCTCTGGGGAGGTAAACTGGAAGGCTTAAAACTTTTATTCTTGGCAAGTGGTACAAGATCACAGGATTGATCTGAAGATTTGCTACATGATTTGCTGTGTGATTGTTTCCTCCACTTGAACAGGATGATTAATGGTTGTGGATTTTAGGAGGGAGCAGGGACGGGGATCAGGACTATGTATGGCGGCAGTACTCGCTGAACCTGGAACTTCAGTGTGACTTAGGTCTGCCTTGTAAAGTTAATGCATCCTAAGGGTCAAAAGAATTTGTGGACCTAGATCTAGAGATGTGCATTAGTGTTCCAAATGTTTTTGTTCTAGATTTAACATCTTATCTGTGAGGATTTCCCTGCATATCCAAATTAGATTGTTTAATATATCACAGAATCTGTTTTATGAGAGTTAAAATCTATAGACTATGAATATCACTGCTGTAGTGTTTTGAAGGTAAGAATGGAATCTGTGGGTGTAGAATGCTTTGGAAATGGCAGTAGCCTCTTAATGAATGACTACATTTTGTTCCTCTCACTGAAGCTGTAAACACCAAGACAAAATTACATATTCTACCAAAGCAGCAGTGCTCTGTATTTAATTTTTAGAAATTCCTGTTGTCATGAGTGGGTGATAACTGTCAGCTGACACAATGTGACTTGCTTTGTCTGAAACACAGTAGAGAAAGCTACTAGTCTATGCTGCCCACATACGACTTTAATCTTCCAAGTGTTTTGTAGTGTTGACTAGCCATAGTTATGTAGCCTATGATGTAAATTAAATGAAATACTGATATAGCAGGTTTCTAGATGGTAACAGATGGCCCTCCTACGTTAGGAAACCTATCTAATACTGAGACTGCTTTTAGTATAAACATAGAGAAGGTAGCTATGTGGCCTTGAGTGGATTGCTTGGTCTGTTTATTTGTAGGGTTAGGGGAAAAAGTCAGACACACATACACTTTAGATTTATTATGTCAGAATGTCACTCCCACACCAGTAGTGATTACACTGCTCCATATGCTGTTTGGTGGTCCATCAAGAAGAACCAAAAGACTCCTGATGAGGCTAAGCAAAGAGAGTAAGTTAAACCTGCTCTTAATATAGGGCAGGTGTTTCGGGAGGTAACTGTTATAGGACAGCAACAAGGAGCCAGTACTGGTAGTACTAAGCCCCCTGTCACTTCAGAGCATTAAAAAAAAAGGGCATTTTGCTTTTTCATTCTGTGAAGATACTGTGATTGGCATTGACTGGCGCATCTTGCTAGCTGTATGGGGAAGTGGGGAGAGATGTCTTACAAGCTGGTGATCAAAATGAGGTAGGTGGGGAGTGGTGCTTATCAGTAAGGGTACTTTTGATGTTCTTATTCCTGTGAATAGTTTCACTGAAGTTGGGGCTTGAACAGTTGGATGTATGTCCCAATGCCAGGGAGGGCAACCTAACAAAAAGTAAGACTTCAGACGATGTTTGTATTTCAGGTCCTGAAATGGCATGCTTGTCTTTCTTACTCAGATTATATTTTAAGCTTCTTTGTCTAGTACAACCCAATTTTTATGGAATTGAGTGATGTGCTAGCTAAATGCCACCTGCTACCTCCTTTTTTGTAATGGTAGCAGCAGCAAAAGTGATGTTTCTTATTAATAGTATGTACATTTTACAGTTGCTGCTCCTGTCTTTTTTTGCCAGGATCCTGATTTTCACAGGGAGGGAGGCAGAACAGCGATGGAGGCCTCGGTGTGCCTGCCTCTGGAGAATGCATTTGCTCTGGCAGACAGTGTATTGCTGTAATACGGGTTTACACTGTTGCAAATGGAGTCTTGAACGCAGCTCAGATTAGTGGGGTTCTGCTGTTGTCTGCTAGGGTCCCCTCTTTTCCCTCTCTTCCCCAGACCTATGAGATTTACTGACTTGGACAAGTGTATGGCTATTGATTGTTGAAATATAAACTGCCATTTGGAGCTAGAGACTGAAATAAATTGAGAAGAACAAGCGTTGGTTTATTCTCTTGTATTCTCTCAGCTGCAGGCTTAGAAAAGCATGTCAGGAGGGTGGTGTTTAAACAAGTCTTCTTTACTATGTCTCATAATAGTAAGATTCCTAAATGTTCTCTGTGAAGCTGAGTGGGTTGAAAAGGTCAGTAACTAAAGCTGAACCAGGGCATGAGGAAACAAAACTGTCAACTACTTAGGAATGTGTATTGCAAAACTTAGCTTATGTATGTGACTGGGTCACATCTAGGAAGGTCCTTTCCAGTCATTGTCTGTACTGCCATAAAGTACAGTTTTCTTTGTTTTAACAAAGTGTAAGTGCTTTTTGCTATGAATGAACAGTGAACATTAGAACCTAGTTAAAGGTGAGGTTTAGGAAGGCAAAATAACTTGTTTTCAGTATTCGGTATAAACTATGGAAATCAATATCAGAACTGTGGAAATATCAAGCTCAGGTGTTAACGGTGAATGCTCACACTCTCTACCCTGACAAATTTTGCAGATTTTATTTTGGTAGGAATGTGCAATTATGCCCTTTAGTCTTTCTCCAGACTCTGCTGTTTCTCTGAAACCATCGAAGTAGTTCATTTTGTAAGTTCAGTCCCTTTACTGGGGCTATTGAGGAAAACATGTTTTAGTTCTGACTCAACTCACTTTTACTCAGTCTTGTATGGAATTTTTTTATTCCATCTTGTATGGAGTCACGAGGAGTAATTCCTTCTTTTAATGATTTTTCTGTTGCTACTGTGTCTGTCCAGATGCACTGATCTAATGTCACCTGTGGGTAATGTACCTTAAGCAACCTGCATAGGTAGCATATACATGAAGGCTATGTAGATGATGTCTGGCTTTATTATATACAAACTAATCTACTTCATGTCAAGTGGATCCGTATGACTTCTGAGTAATACCTACCAACTTTCAGTATGATCTGAAAATTCATCTTATGCAAAAGTAGGCCATTTTAGCTTGAAAAAAAAAAAAAAGCAGAAATTATTCTGAGTCCTGTAATCTTACTTTGGTATGCCAAGTCACATGATTTTCCAATTGTTTTATCCATAACTGCTTATAGCTATGGAGTCTTCTACCAAAAGGTACCCTCCTTAGATTTTTCTACATGTTCTCTGCATTTCTGCAAACTATTTCCATTTGGCTGGGCTTGAAGAGGGGTGGGGGGATGTGTCTGGACCAAGGAGAGACTTTCAGTCTGCTTCCAGATGGAAGCCAGGCCTGGCATGGGGAGATTTCTGGAAGGAAAATCAGTCTGGGATCTTTGTCCATAGTCTCATGGGCTGGATATGTGTGTTGTGTGCCCTTGATCTGTTTGTATGAGTGTGGTTAGGTTCAGGGGGAAAAAGTGTAAGGTAAGTCTTGAAATACTGGTGTTGAGATTTCAAAAAATAAGCTCTTCCAATTACACTGATGGTAATACTCCATCATTGTCCTGGAAAATAATCGGTATTTCACTTAAAAGCTAAAGCAAGCTGTTTACGGTATTAAAAGGGATTCCTAAATCTGCATGTATTTGCTTCTGTTCCTTCTTATGGTGGGATTGTGTTTTACATCCAGATGCAGATTGCCGTTCAAAAAAAATTAGTTTTCCCATCTCATAGCTGTGGATATGGTGGAGATCTGCAGTTCTCTGTTCCTTGGTTTCAGACTTTGCTGGGTAGGATTGGTTTTTGCATGATGTCTGTGAATGTCTGGGTCATCATTGTCCTTAAAATCTTTTTCTTAGTTATGAGGTGTTTGAAAATTCTCTATGCTTGCATACCTGTTGCAAGCTGACATCTTATGAGAGGAAAACATTTACCTCAAGTGAGGGGAGGGTTGAAATGTGGAACTGCTTCTTGCCTGTCATAGGCAGCACATGTGTGGTCAGCTCCCTCTAGGATGTGAGGGCTGTGCGAATGCTTTGTCTTCCCCGATCCAGTTCTCAATTTAAGTGTCTTTTTTTTTTTTTTTTTTTTTCCCTATGCATGGCGTTTCTGCAGAGGTGGTTTAGTTATGATACTCTGAAAAGCTGTAGTTCTCTGACATATTTGATCAACAGTTGTAGTTGAATCTTATCTCTAAGGAAGCAAGAAAACTGAACTCTGCAGAGCATCTCAGCTGTTTAATGGTGGGGCTTTTGTTCTTGAGAATAAAACCTCTTACAGGGTACTGATTTGGTAAAGAAACATTAAAGTATGGAAAAGACAGAGTGCAGCTATCTATTGTATTTAACAATCTGTAGACACTGAGGTTTTCCAGGTAATTACTTCTAACATCTTGCTAGCTAGGTTGTTGGATGTGCAGTCCACAGGGTGTGTGTTTAGACACTTGCGTAAGTCCAGGCAGCCATCTGTGTAAGTAAAATGGTTTTGAAGGAGTGAGAAAAGCGGATGAAAGTCAGCTTGCTGATGTAGATCTTCCTAGGCTAACTGTATAGCTAGTTTCCTTTTTGGGTGTCCCTCCCTGTTACCACATAAGGGTGCTTAAAGAAGATAAGATTATTAAGCAAGAAATACTTAGAGGGAGTTCAGGGTCAGAAGAAGTTTCTGAGATGACTTTGAACATACCTCTGAATGGCATAAGTAAAGGTTACTCTAGTCCCATTCTCAGGAAAGCAAGAGAGATCTGGGAGAAAATTCTTTATTCTTAAAATCTTTCATTGCCTAATTCTCATTCTCTTTTCTGTGCAGGTGCTGTGCTATAGAAGATGCACTATTACCGATATTCTAATGCAGAAGTCAGCTGTTGGTACAAATACCTGCTCTTCAGCTACAACATTGTCTTCTGGGTGAGTGCAAAATGTAGACACTGAAATACTTTAGGCATACCTCAGTTTTATTAACTGAATGTCTCAGTTGAAGACAGCAGGCTGAAATATTTATGTGAAAGCAGGAAGCTGATGTATGGTATGTCCTGGGTGTTTTGGAATTGAAGAAGCCTATCCCATGTGAGAAAATAATTATTATTGAAAACTATATGGATACTGATTCCTTACAATCTTTCCCTTCCTTGCCCCTTCTTCCTGTCTTACCTTCTGAGTGAAGATAAAATACACAATAATGGTTCTCTTTGTATTTTGTTTCATTTGTGGTTTTTTTTTTTTTTTGGTTTGTTTGTGTTTTTTTTTTTTTTTTTTTTTTTTTTTTTTTAAAGTGGAGAAAGGAAAGATCTGCTTAAAGGATTTGTCAAAAGCAAATAGTATAGTCTCTGCTATTGGTGACAGGGCCTCTGTCTTTTGAATGATAGAGGTCGTTAAATGCTGGTTGTGTTTAGGCAAAGGTTAAAGCTACCTTTAAGTGGTATATTAAGTTGCTTTCCTGCTAAGAGAAATCTTGTCTAATGTCTCCTTCCAGATCATCTTTGATCTCCCCGTTGGGGTGGTGTAGCTGCAAATACACTATTCAGAAGAGAAGAAAGGAACTGCCAGCTGGCATTACAACATAGTCAGGATCTTTGCTGCCCACGGAGCATGGCATTTAAATTCTCTGATATTGTCTTGAAATACCTAGCCAGGGACTAGCTTGACTATAATGTTTGTTTAGAACTGTGAATATGAAAAGGGTGCAAAACCTGGTGTTTCTAGATGTGTGATAATCAAGTTCACTGAAGCACCTACCTACCTACCTTGGAAAAAAAAGGCTATTCCCAGGATAGTGTGTAGCATTGCATTAGAAATAGTTAACATGTCTGTAAGGGGAAGGGGAGGGTAAGGTTGCAATTGAGAAACTTGATTATTCTTTTCAGAACTTGCAGGTGAAATGTTAGGAGTTTGCACCTGAAGTAGTGGAAACTGCAGTTGTGGAAAAGCATGGGTAGTCATGGAGAAGTGCAGATATGTGACATGCCTGGTGCTAGCAGCTTGGACTAGCGTTCTGATTCAGAGTGGAAATACTTCTAAGTATGGGTAGCCTCTTCTCAAGATGTTTAGATTTTTTTGAAAGTCAAAAGGATCACATAGTAAGAGTGGAAGTGTGGTATGTGGTTGAAGCAACATGTTTTCAGTTAAAAGTAAAAATGAATTCTCCTGATTCTGACTTGTCTGAGATCAGCAGATATGCTAGAGAAGACTATTCGTTAATTCTATTTGTTTGCTGTGATTCCTTAAACCATGTTTTAACCTTTACTACCTAAAATTTAAGATATACAGAATTGCTACCCAAATCTGCATCTAACTTCAGTAAAAAAAGGGATTTAGTATCTGAACAGAGATTGCAGGCTGCAGTCTTGTTCGTACTTGTCAGTAATGACTTGGTGTTTTGCTTGGTTCACCCACATAAACTAGTAAACTAGATTAGAATTTCTGCACATTTTGACTGCTGTGGCAGTATTTAAGGTAGAAAATAAGCTTTTTTTAAAAGCTGCAGGTATGATGGACAAAACTCTGAATTAATCTAGAATCATAGAAAAGTCTAGATTTTGGTGCAACTTCTGGAGGTTATCTGGCCCAATTTTCTGTTGAGAGCAAGACCTGTAGGATAGGAAGTCACTGCTTAAAGAGAAGAGCTGGGAGTCTTGAGCTTCTTGATCATCAATTTTGTGCTGTCTTCAGCCTCAAAAAAAAAAAGGCCAGGTGATACTGAGACTGCAGTGTTTTGGGTATAGTTGTTGAAAACCACAGAACTTTGCTACTGTTACCACCTCTTGTTTATTAGTGCAATGTTTTAACATGATACTGTAGCATTAAGCCACAGGGAGTTTATCCTTGTGTGGATAACAGGATGTGTGCTGGTGTAGGAACTTTTTCCAGTAAGGGTTAGTTGGACACAATATTGCCACAGTGCAAATGTTTTTACTTGGACACAATATTGCCATAGTGCAAATGTTTGTTAGTGATTTTTCTCACCCTAGTAATTGAGGATTACCATCATGGCCTTGTGTCAAAAAGTAGGTGCTCAAAGGCCACCAGCTCTGTAATTACTTTTCTTCTATATAGTGCAACTCCCATGTACCTGTCGTGAAGTGTAATGCAATGAGAAGTAGTATTTGTTAAGTTATTCTGGTTTTCAGAGAAATCACTTTAACTGGGCGGATGCTCTTCAGCAGGTAGTGGGAGGGGTATGTGAGAAATAGACTCTTTGTTCATTAATATATTAAGATTTTTCTAGACCTCTGCTTTCTAGTGAGTGTCTCATGAATTGGGATCTATTATTGTTTTTGATGAGCAAACAACCTTTAAAAAACTGACTTTTTTTGTCTTTAGTGGGAAGAATATCAAGAATTTGCCTTTGCTTTTTCACAGGAATTAATTTTGTCTCTTTCTATTTTCTTATTCCCTGCAGAGTCATTACATTTCACTTCTTTCAAATTTCTTTTACTGTAGTCTCTTGAAATTAATGATGAAGAACCAAGGATTTTTTTTTTTTCTTTTCCTTAAAGAATCATTTGTGAAGAGATGCAGAAAAATTGAGGAAAATTTGAAAGACAGCTTGTGTGCTTAATCTCATCTGTTGGCTGAAGGAATTTGTTTTCTGAAATACTAGTTGTCTTGGTAGCTTGCTCTATGAATCGTCTGCAGCTTCTGTTGAGAAGTTATTATCAGGTTGACCTAGCAAATTATGTGTAACTGCGGCTCTTTTGATAAGAGTTCGGCACCTTTAGTTGTAGAACAAGCTATGTAAATGTTGAGTGGGAGGGTAGACACTCCTATAAGCAATGGATGAATCATTTAGTTGACACAGTGATTCAGGAGCCTATGACATCCTGCTGACTGGGATGACTAGTCTAACAATCTTTTTCTTCTACAGACTATGGGTTTGTCCAATTAAATTAAATTTTCTATGTGTCTTAGAAGAACTGAAGGACTACAAAATCAGAAGGGAAATGTATCTATGACTCGAAAAAGCAGCATTTAAGGAGGGAATGTTAGTCTTGATTTACTTTTATTGACTTGCAGGATAGGTGCTTGTGGAGAGCTGGTTTTTGAGTGTTTGTGTTAGTGAGGATGGCCACTGTATAATCGGTATGAGGAATGGTGTTTAGATATGTTTGCAGACAGCCTTTAGTTCATATAAGCTGTTACTGGAGGTATGATTGTAGCTCAACTCACAACACAGTTTATTCACAAGCCAAGTAATTTGCATGTAAATAGTTGCATTTGTTGTTCTGTCACGCTTACTAAAGATGCATATTCACTTACCCGATGTACCTCTAAAGATAATATCAGTGAGTGTGTAAACTTTAAAGCATATGGTGATTTAGTTTACAGAATATTTAAAATTTTTAGTGGGTTGTTACTTTTCTTCAATTTGTGTCAAGTTTCAAAAACAGTTCACATAGATTTCAGTGGAACAAAATATTGAAATCAGGACAAATATTACTATTTTAATAATGGGAAGCTCACAGTTTAGTCAGCCTTTATAAATCTGTAAATCTTTATTCTTTGGAAGTTCATCTTTTCTGATGGGCATCTTGGCAATAGAAGGTTCAGCTCTGATGGCTTTGAGTTAGTTGTGTACAACTAGCTGGCAAAATCACTACTTTTTTTTTTTTTTTTGTGCTTGGCTTTCCCTTGTAAGAAAGGGAGTGGAGGCTCTGTCTTCTTAGGCATGATTTTAATGTGTGATTTACTTTTTGATCTTGCCTTTTAAGCATGCTAATAAGATTTAACTTCTCCAAGCACACTTGTTTTAATGAGTAGTGGTGAGTCAGTATTGCAACCATTAAGATAGCCCTGCAGGGAGTGCTCAGAAGTTCAAGTGAAATTACCCTATTACAGCAAGGCTGGACCTCCATTTGAATTTTAAAGCTGCCTTTTTTTTTTTTTTTTTTTTTTTTTTTTTTTGCCTAATAGCTTAATTTGTCATAATGAAATTAAAAGAATACAGTAGTACAAGGTGAAGAGCTTGGTGCTGGCAGTTTTCTGTTGTGAGTCATTTTGCAGGAGTCCTGTGAAAACCCCAGTGGTGGGAAGGGACAAGGGGTGGACAACTGACCCCAGGGCGAGTGCAGGGGTGCCCTGTCTTGGGGTGCAGCACTGCTCTGTGCCTTCCAGCTTGCACTTGGGAAGGCCCAGGGAATAAAAGGTGGTGCCTCAATCACCTGCCTCTGGTGCTTGCTGCTTTGTCTCCAATTGAAAGATTCTTTTTTTTTTTTTTTTTTTTTTTTTGGTGTAGTCCAGGAGTTGCACCTTCAGTGAGGTAAGGGATTGCATGTCTGCTCTGCCAAAACCTTTTAGGTTGCATGTGAGCTCACTGTCGCTTAGATGAATTGAGAGGAGAGGGTAAAATAACTTTTAGTTGCTGTCATCCTGATTTATCTTCTAATGCTCTGTAGCTTTTTGTGTGGCTATTAAGGGGCTTTGGAGAAAAAAAAATAAAACTTTTCCCTCATGCTATAGGAAATGTGGCATTTTTGTCCTGAACATGATGATAAAGGACAAAAACATCTCTTAAATTCTGGAAAAGAATTTTGAGCTCATTTTTGAAAAGTAGAAGATACAAGATTTTCTTGGCTTTTGCAGCGTATGTTGTTTTTCAGGAACATCTAAAATCACAAAGCTGTGTCAGGAAGAGGAAAGAATCTACCGCCAGGTGGTTTTCTGACCCTGACAGGGGAAGCCTGGGAAGAGAGAAGGGTAGGAAGGAAGGAAGGGCTTGTAGGCTCCTCATTGCTCCAGTATGGGTGGAGCTACAATGTAAAATAGGAGTGTCCAGGGAGTGGAAAACTCTTTCAGAGTGTTCTCTGCAAGAGTAACACTTCGTGCTTACAAAACCTGAGCGCAATAAGAATGCATTCCCATTGCTTCCGATGAGACCTTGAGGCTGGCTGACACGAAATCCGTTTGTGTGCAAGGGTTGTCTTGCAAGCATTATGTTTAGCGGCAACCTAGATTTGAGAAATAAAATAGACCCATTTTCTCAGTAGGATGATTCTAATAGCATAGTCAAAGGAATTCAAAGTGTGGTTGGGAACAGATGGTGCTTAAGCTAAGTGGTCCTGTGCACAGTGTCTGTGAGTTGGCGTCAGTATTGTACTTTTCCTGATCAGAGTTTACAGCTTGATGCAATATATTAATGATGTGGATTTTTCAGTTCTAAAGCAGGAAATGACCAAATGCTGGTTACTAGTTTTGGTTTCCTGTTCACAGGGGTACAGTTGCTGCTTTGTGTATGTTTCCATCTAACCTTTCATGCAGTATATGGCTTAAATGACTCTATGGCGTAGGAGTGAATTGGGTAGTCCAGTTTTTGCTTACACATCATCCAGATTGTGGTGAAAGGCGAATTTCAAAATGCTTCACTTGAAATAGCTGGCTTGCTCACTCTCACCCTGGGAACACTTTAGTTAGCATTGCTACTTCTCAGCTGCGTATTCTCCCATTCATGTGGCCAGTTAGTTCAGTGAACTGGTGAAGGTTAAAACTTCTCTTTCAGATCAGATTGGATCAGTTTTCTGGTCTGCCTCATAGCAGTCACTTCAATTCCTCTGGGCAAGAGTGGTAAAGAAGGTATTTTGCTGGTGCTAATTCTCTGTAGAACTCAGTATTGACTGTGCTCAAGCATGCTTAACTAACTTCTGAGGTAGTTTATCACAATGCTGTGTTTTACAATGGGTTTCAATAAGGCACTTAAAAGTTATCTTGCACATGATACTTAAAGCAAATAAATCTCTTTTGGTTAAATAATTGCCATTTTAATTCCTTACAAATTGGTTGTCTTGGTAATTGTGCCTGTAAATGTGGTGGCTGATGGCTTTGTTTCTTCTGCAAGTACATCATACTTCACTGTCTTTTCCTATAGAAACCTAACGTATGTGGTTTGGCTGATTCTAGTGAAAATTTTTAATCACTTATGTCTTAGCTGAATGAAGTTTTGGATTTATCCACATTGATTCTGTGAGTTCTTCTGCTGATAAACTCTCTTGTAGATAGTTTGCAGAGCTGATCATGGAAATAACTTGGCAAAAATAGTGTAGTTTTGTGAAAATGAATGTTTTATAAGACATGAGAGCAATGTTGGTATTCAGAGGTGAGAATGAAACATGCTAGTGAAATATCTACCTAATCAAGAATCTATTACAATTTAAGATGGCAATTGCAATGGAAGGCAGCCAGTCTGAGGAGGAAATCCTACTTGTGTATTTGATAGCACAGTATTAGTGTTACACTAACATTAGTTGGTATACAGAGTGTGGAAGATGTGTCTTCCCAATTCTTTTTTTTTTTCCTCATTTCTTTAGCAAAAGTTTCCAAAGATCCAGCTGTGTCTACTGTGTAATTTACCCTGATTACTGCAAATTATACCAGCTGTCATCACCTGTCTCCCAGCATTCCTGGAGCATGTGGAATGAGAAAGGGTGAAGGATAAATCAGGTGCATGCACTGTGTAACTTCATGACATATGAGTTTGATTATTAATTACTTTTTTCCCTGTTTTGCTGCTTCATCCAAAAGTCACTGGGTTGAGATTTAGGGGTAATCTGGATCAATATTCTGATTATATCTATGTGGTTTTTTAATACTGTTTTTCGAGTTGTGCTTTGATCCAAATCATCACTTTAAATGTTCTTAATTTATTCAGAGTCTGAGATGAGCAGTCATTGTGCTGTTGCTTATTAAGCAACATCTGGAAATCTAACTTATTTAGCACTGCTTTGCCTGGTTGTAACTCTTTACGTGTATTGGTAGTGGGTTTGGTTGGTTAATCTGTGTGCTTAAGCCCTAAAATAGGGCATATAATACTTCATGACTGGACCGAAGCGTCTAACACCATTTGAGTAATTTTTACAGAATGACACTTGCAGCCCTTTTTGGTTTTCCTTTCCCTCACTCCCCCCAGCAAAGTAAACCTAGAACAACTTAATCTGCTCTAAGTGCAGTTTAGGGTCAGCAGGCAGTGAACCCACCAGTACTTAAAAGCTACACATATATTTTCTTGTGTGGCTGTAGGAGGGTCCCATTTTTGCTTCTTGCCCGTGCTGTGGGAAATTGCCTGTAATGCCTGTTTAGTTCATGAGAAGTGCTGCATTTCCTCAAGGAAAGGGCCCCTTTCTCAACGCTTTTTTTTTCAGTTGGGATTTACTTGTCAATATGTGTAAGGCTTGGGCTGGGGGGAGGAACCTCAGTCCTTTATATAGAATCATTCAGGTTGGCAAAGAGCTTTAAGATCATAGAGTCCAACTGTAAACCTAACACTGCCAAGCCCACCACTAAACCATGTCCCTAAGCACCACATCTGCACATCTTTTAAATACCTCCAGTGATGGTGACTCAACCACTTCCCTGGGCAGCTTGCTTCAATGCTCAACAACCCTTTTGGTGAAGAAATTTTTTCCTAATATCCAATCTAAGCCTCCCCTAGTGCAACTTGTGGCTGTTTCCCCTTGTCCTATCACTTCTTACTTGGGAAAAGAGATCAACACCCACCTCACTACCACCTCCCTTCAGGTAGCTGTAGAGAGTGATAAGGTTTTCCCTGAGCCTCCTTTTCTCCAGACTGAACAACCCCAGTTCCCTGAGCTGCTCATCGTAGGACTTGTTGTCTAGACTCTTCACCAGCTTCGTTCTTCTTAGGACACAGTCCATCACATGAGTGTCTTTTAAGGTTACATGGACGTAGCAAGGTAAGAGTGCCATTTTAAGCAATGAGGTGGAGCTGCCTTCAGTTTGTAGAGAGGTCATTTTAGTTTGAGTATTGAAATTGGATATTAAAGACAAACTGCCCGAGAATGGAGAAAGGGAATAAAAGGCTAGAACAAGGATCTCTTACTTCATTTGGATGAATATAATCTGGAAATATTTATTATACAAACATATGAATTGGTGTAGGGTTTGTATATTGTCAATTAGATTTGTGGCTTATTGAAAGTAAATGGATGGACTGTTACTTCAACTTAATTCAAAAGGGTTTAAACAAGGTAAGATTTCAGAAGATAAACTATATCTAATTAGAAAAGAGGTTAATATAATGAGCCTTGACACGAAGAAGTTATGAAGACTCAAGCATGGCTACTGTCAGAGGGTGGTACTATGAAAGGACTAATAAATAGGGAAAAACCTCAAAATGCATTAAATATTCTGAAATCTTCATTAGTGTGCAGAAGGAAGGTTTAGAACAAGTCATTGGGACAAGGATTACTCCCACTTGCATGTTACTGTGTGGAATTGTTAATTTATTACTGTGCTTCTTGAGTAATCATGAATAATCAAATAGAAATACTTTTAAAAGGCAGTTTATAAAATGCAGGCATGGTATGGAATAAAAACACTCAATCCTTTTTGCAAGTGATTTATGGGGAGGAATGTCACATTACTCTTGTCTGAGATTACAGACAGTACTTATTTTAGTTGAGCAACAGTGCTGCTGGCTAAGTGTTTTGAGAATGTGTTGATTAGTATATCTAATTAACTTTTTTCTTTCTGTTTTAGCTAGCTGGGGTGGCCTTCCTTGCAGCTGGTCTGTGGGCATGGAGTGAAAAGGTAAGGATAGAGAATGACTGATCTTACTTTGGCTGCCCTCTTCTGGCCCAGTAAAACTACTTCCCCAGGAAGCAGCAAAGTTTAAATGTAGCATCTGAGCTCAGGATCATGTTCAAAAGATCTAAACTGAGTTCAGCTGGAGTTTCTTTCTTGTCCCTGATCAGGTGTTAAGCTGTTACTCTTGATGTTTAGACCTTTTTATGTAAACTTGCAAGAGTGGGGTGCTAGTGAGAATTTAATCTTTATGAACAGTCTGTATGAACTGGTTCTTACTTGAAAGCATGTTTTCTAGAATGCACTTCTCTACCCCACTCTTTTTATTACAAACAGGAAGCATTTGGGAGGAATGTAAGATATCTCTTTTTATATTAAAAAAACCCAAGCAAAACAGGCATATATCTTTGGGACCAACTTTCTGAAGTATTCCAATCTTCAGGTTATCTGTTTTCTGCCACTTTACTCCCCATGGAGTTGCTTAAGAAACTGTGTCTCTGTGTGGAGCAACAAAATTGGGGAATGTGATTTATCCGCATAACACTATTATTTTTGGCAAAGGTTTCTTTCAGCTGAATCACTTCCTCAATCAGAGGAAGTCTGTGCGGGCATGCATCTGCAGAGTTTTCCTGTTACAAGAGAAGAGATGGTATAGGTATGGAAATGAATGGTTCACCCCCTTGTTATGAATGTAAAAGCATAACTTTGTCTGCAAGCAGTAGGAAAAAGTGACAATTATTAGCAGATTTAGTGATCTGCATCTTAATTAACAGTGGAGGGCAGGTGCCCTCACTGCTCAGTTTTACTGCTGAGTAGGAACACTAATTACCATCACTGTAATGTTTCTTTAATCACAGTTGCACGTATACAGCAGCTACACACATACAGAGAGTTCTTGGGATTCTTCTACTTTTTGGAAGTGAGAGAGTTTTATGATGATCTTAATGCCGAGGTATTTGTTCTCCTTCTCCACGTTACCCATGTGCGTGTACACATTCTCAAAACTAGATTAGTGATAGCATTGGTAAGCAGCCTATCTCCCCATACAAATGCATTTACCTCCTGTTCTGTTGTTATAAAAGGATTTTCTTTCCAACCCTTTAGGGAGAGTGTTAAACTTTTATTGAATTTGTATTCTCTCATGTTCAGACATTAGCTTCTTTTTTGTAAAGCAGCACATATGATCTGTGTGGTTGGAAATGACTAGCTCACAACCACCTCCATGGACTTCATGGAACATCAAAGTTACTAAAAGGCAAGGACAGACTCTTTCTGTCTTTATTTCTTAAATTTTGCCTGAATTATTTCTGTCCTGTCCTGTCTTGCAAATAAGTGCTTCAAAGCTTTTCCTGTGGTTTTGAACTTCTGAATGGCTCATGAAATCTGTATGTTATTTTTAATTTCTATTGTTCTGCACTAGGTAGGCAGTCTTTCATACTAGTTCGATTCTTCAGCTGTAGTGCCTGTATGGATCTGTCTGTTTACAGATAAACATCTTGGTGAGCAATAGATGGGAAGCAAGAGTAAAACATTCCAGAAGCTGTGCTGCATTGGTAAACCCAAAGATAAACTAGAGGTGGTAGAAGAGTGTTGAACATCCTGTCTCAGTGCAACGTGAAGTACATTGGGTCCCTTTAACTTCTCTGTGTTTTCTTGTCTTTTATTTTTTCCCTAGGACTACGCTTTGATTCTTTAGCAGTCTTTTTCTGGATATAAATGCCTTGCATCTCTCAGCTGATAATATATTGAAATGCGATTGCCGGTTTGTGAGAAATGTTGAAAATACTATATGTAGTTACTCATCCTGATGTGCGTTACCTGTTTGAGTCAAATTGAGTCTCTTTAACTGTTATATCTTAACTGACCTATCTTCATGATCCTATAACTGGGTTTTGTTGTTCTAAGCAGTCCTGTAAAAGTTAAATTGCATAAAATTTTAAAAGTCTACACAATAAAAACTGGATAGATGTTAATATCTGTCACCTAAGAGATACTGCAAAAATCACTAAGAGAAAGTGAATTACAATAAACTGTTAGTAGAAGCAAAGTGAACAACACTGAGCTGTCTCATCAGGAAAACAGTACTTATTGGTAAAACCATTTCAAGGACACAAAGGAGTATCTGGGAAGCGAAAGGGCTAGTCAGCTTAACTTCATTCCAGCAAGTTCATGGCTAATGAGAAACGGAGAGGGAGCAGACAGTCTACTTCAAAGCAAGACTGCTATTTAGAGACACTTCAAGAGCTTGGAGAAATGGGATGACAGGAACCCCTATGAAGGTCATAATAAAAAAAAAAAGGCAAATGCAAAATCCTGTGCCTGAGATAGAGTAACCCCAAGAAAAAAAACCCTTGATCTCCTGTTGATCAGGAAGTTGAATATCAGGTGTGCCTTCATGGCAAGGCTAACAGCATACTGGGATATATTAGCACCGATGTGGCCAGTGATTGAGGGAGATGCTTCTTCAAGATTACACTTGAGACTGAATCTGGAGTACCCTGTCCAGTTTGGGCTCCCCTGTGTCAGGCAGGTCTTTTCCAACTTCACCCTGATTCTGTAATTAAGTGTACTTGCTCTTTAGTCTGCTGATACTTGTACGCAGAGGTATGTAAACAGTCTAAAGATAGGTGCATTTAACTTTTGTGTTACAATCGGTGGCAGTGTAATATTGTGATGGTCAACATCCAGTTTACAGAACTGTTATAACAAATCAACTCTGTCCTTGTCAGATGTATTTTGTAGTTTCCATACCTAGTGTATCTCAAAACAGTAACTGGCTTGGCATTTGTTAATGGGCTGTATTAGAGTTGTTTGGTTGTGGTGTTGTTTTGTGTTTTGTTGTTTTTTTTTTTTTTGTTTGCTTGTTTTTTTTTTTTTGTTTGCTTGTGTTTTTTTTTTGTTTGCTTGTTTTTTTTTTTTGTTTGTTTGTTTGTTTTTTTTTTTAATTTTTGTTTGCTTCTTTTTTTTTTAAAGCCAAACTATCTTTGTTTTCTGCTGGCAACATGCCTCCATTCACATGATGGCAAAATACTTACAAACATTAAAAATGGAAAACAAGTTAAGCATGTACAGTGGGACTCTTAATTCACTGTTCTGACTGAAAGGAAGACTTAAAGTTTTAGTCTTGGATTTTTTTGACACTGACTTCAGGTATCAGACTTAATTTCTGTATACCTGTAGGAAATCTAGGTGCTGTTGTAAACATCAGCCTGGGCTTCAAAGAGCTTTTACTATCCTGCAGATGGCACAGGCAGAAGCATCCTTAGAGAGATAAGGGAGAATGAGATAGTCCCCTGAATTCTCTTGTTTACTTCCTGCCTTCTGGATTTTTCACTTAACATCTTTTGTTAGGCAAAAAAACACCCACAACTTTGTTTTCAAGAGAGAATGTTACAAACATCAAATGTGAACCTGAAGAAACTGTTGTGAACCAGCAACATCTGAGGGTGAATAATAGAGCCCAGTTCCTGCCAATTTTTCTTCATAACATGCTTTGATCAGAGGAAGTTTTCTTCCAAAAATGTTGCTTGAGCAAATGAGATTGCCTGAAAGAAAACTTGAGTTTGGATGTGGGAAGGAGATGGCTGGAAATAGTTGTGAAAGTTTCAGCATCCTGGTCACAGTGTTTGGTTTCATAGTGGATCAGTCCTACAAAGACACTGAATTTAGCCTAGCTGATCTTGGCATGTCTTCCTTGATTGTGGGGTCTGAGCCAAGGTCTGATGGGGTGGGACTCTCGTAACTAACCCAGTAGACCAAGTCTGATAGTTAGCTGTGAGGTCTCACAGTTTGTAAGAATGGAAGCGTGTCAGTGGTGACACTAACTAGAAGAGGCTTTGCTTCCCAAGACTTTCTGAATGCTGAGAAATCTATAAACTGTGACCACTTTTTAATAGATTATTTCACTTGTTAGTCACCAGATATTGCAAGGCAACGCTGAACTCTACAATTCAATTATTTTTTTTTTTTCTTTTCATTCCTTCAACCAGTTTTGGTAAAAACTGTTGTCTTGCTGTTGCTGAATTAACACCTCTAACAAGATCTGTTATGGAACACATTGAGAGATGAACTCCTGTGTATCACTGTAGTACTAGAAACCATTGTCTTTTCATCAGCTGATGAAGTTTTTCAATGTGCATATTTTCTTCTAATGCTGTATTCTGAAGACATTATTTTTGTTAAGTAAGTGTTTAAATACAAAGTGATAGGGATTTTTCCAAGGTACTCTCTTAAAATGTATATTCTTTGCACTTAACTGTAGCATGAATACCTGAGTAGCAAGATAAGAAATTGCATTCCCTTGACAGAATTTGTCCACTTATATGAATTACTTTACAAGTTTCTCTGATTTCTTTCACTTAAAGTAAATGTAGTTAGCTTGAGAATATACTTTAAAAAGAAAAAAAAAAAACCAAACACAAAACCAAAACAAAAGATAGTAAATGTAATTATGGGATATTGTACTGTGTTAATTGTTGTTATTTCTATTTTAACGGGAAAGTGTTTCCTTATTAAAATGTTCTATGTATTGCTGATGAGTGTATGATGAACATTGACTATTGCAAGGCTGCCTGGATGTCCCTACAAATTGTCTTTGTTAACTTCAAAAGTTTCAGCTGCTTGTTCCTTTTGTCTTTTGCATGTTGCATCTTGTTCTTGCACATTACACGAGAAATCTGTGTTACAGGTATCTGATGGAATTTTAATGGTAATTGGTATATAAACTTCCTTTCTTTAAAACAAAATTTAGAAATAAAGGCTTCACTATGTTAGCATTACATTTACAAAAACTTAGAAATTCTGTCCTAAGAGCTAGGCAGAATGGCTTAAATAGGTAAGATTATTGTCAAAGTAAGTGGTATCTCTGGATAGTTAACAAAAAATAAAATATTTCTCCTAAATTAGCCAAATTGCAAGTATCTTATAGGGAATAGATAACTTTTATGTAAGAATTTTATCTGGGGTGAAAGGGGAATATTTAGAGTATACTTCTGTATTTTTTAGAGGTTTTCGAGGAACATTCCTGAGACTAGACAATGTTAGAAGGGGTATAACTACAACGTTGAGAGAAAAAAATCTGCTTGCCTTGAATACCAAAACAACATTTTGTTGCCCTCCCCTAAACTGTCACCCATAACCTACTTTGTAGTTAGAATGTTTCTCCCTTTCTGTCACCTAAACATTAGGATTGGAAGTATTCTTTTATTAATTTTTAAAGACTTTGAAATTGGAGTGCCCTTCCTATTGATGCATTTTAAGTTACTATTAAGCAATAATAATTCTTTGAAACAAAATGAATATTCAGTGATAGCATTGCTTTTGGCACCATCTTGTGGAAGTTTGTTTGGCGAATAGACCTAGGAGAATGTAATCTGAGAAGCTGACTGTACTGGATTTATGTACTAGAAGAATTAATAGCTGTAACTTTGCATGAATACTTCCTCTGCTATGATGAAGAAAACTGGTATTCTCAAAAACCATTTTGGAACATGACTTTTCCTTGTGGGTTGCTGTTGGCAAGCTCAAGGGTTTGCAACCATTTGGAATCATGTGGAAGTCATGGACATCCAGAAGGAATGTTATATGAAAAACACACTTATAGTGGTCACCTTTTTCTGTTATTCTGTTTTTTCTCTTTCAGGGTGTATTGTCTGATTTGACGAAGGTGACTGGTCTTCATGGTCTGGACCCAGTGGTGCTTGTCTTACTGGTGGGAATAGTGATGTTTACTTTGGGATTTGCTGGTTGTGTAGGAGCACTGAGAGAAAACATATGCCTTCTGAAGTTTGTAAGTAACATCATTATATGAGTGGATTATTATTTATGTGAAAGTTGCAAATGATGGGTGAAGAACAAGTAGCAAGCCTCAATAATGAATTCATAGAATTTGGTTTGTTACAATGTGTATGGTAAACTTACTCCTCTGATGAGCCTTTGAACAATGATGTTAAGAGCAGTATAGGTTCAAACCTATGTATGCTTTCCCCATTCTGGAAAATGTTTCTTCCCTGTTTCAGTCATTCTGCTATACAGTGATGTTGTTATAATTTGTATACCAGAATCTAATATTGTGTCTGTAGTAGCACAAAATCTGAGGTTCTGGAACATATTTAGTCATCTAGCAATTACTGAGAGGAGATGGTATAGTGGCTTAGGGAGAACAAGATCCCTTAAAAACTTCCTCTAAATGTTTGGTGGGCAAAAACTTGGGGACTTCAATGACTGATGTGAAATCTCTTAAACATTTGTTTTTATACTGAGGCTCCTTCTTTGCTTTAGATCTGAAAACAGTTAAGCTGGACAGAAAATTATAAAAGTGGAAACAATCCAAGAAGAAATACCAAGACTACTTTAGCCCTGTGTTTTGCAGATTCTCATTTATTATTAATATTTTCATGGTTGTATGAAATGACTGTGGTATGGTGCTCATTTTACTGTTGGGTTCAGGTGACCAAACCAAAAAGATAACTCCATGTCTTGGGGATTTCTTTACATTGTATTCGTATTTAACAGGCTGTGTTCTCATGGCTATCTGTACTGAGTAAGAATTTTACCCTAATTCTCTGTGTCTGTTTCTGGTGGAGCTGAAGCAGAGACACATTCAAAATGAATGGATATTTTTTTAATTTGGGACTTTTTTCTTTTTTTACAGTTCTGTGGAGCAATTTTGTTTATATTCCTGCTGGAGCTGGCAGTGGCAGTTTTGGCTTTCCTGTTCCAGGATTGGGTGAGGGACAGGGTCAAAGAATTCTTTGAGAATAACATTAAATCATACCGAGACGATATTGATCTCCAGAATCTCATTGATTCGCTACAGAAAATTGTAAGTTCATGTCCTGTCACTCCTTTCACGCATTCTAAGAGAATATGTAGATTTGGAGTTTTCCTTTTCTGTTACAGATTTATCATATTCTGTAGCTAACAGTGCCATGTTGCAGATGTGCAGTTTTCCTCTTTCTACATTGAAAGCATTGGGGAGGACAGATATTCTGAGATACAGTGCTGCTTCTAACTGCAAATGTGGAAGCTCTGCCAGGCATCCATTTGCCTTTTGACCTTCTTGACTTGCTCCCCTGTTCTGATCAGTGTTGCACAACTTGAAGTGAGAAGTGAGCAACAGAAAGACCTTTATCCTAAAAAGATTGTGCGATGGAACTGGTAGTCTGCACTCTTATTCACTCCTATTTTTAGGAGGCACTGCAGTCCTGCACATAGATGCAGCACAGGGACTTTTATCTTCAGATGCACCTCGTTGTGAAGCAAAAGAGAATATTTGTTAATTGGGAAATGCTAGTCTCTATTAAGGCAGTTGTCAAGGAAGGTTGAAACAATTTTATGTTCCTTGCTTTCATTCAGTCAGCTGCTTTTGTAGTCGTGCCCAGGAAACAACCAGTGAGGGTGACTTACGTTTATTCGTGTGTGGTTAAAAAAACCCCTAAAAATGGAGAGAAAGAGAGTACATACATGAGTACTTCACGAAGAGATAAAATGGTTATTTCCTTTATATATATTTTTTCCTCTGTACAAGGGAAGATTGTTTTTGTCTGTCTTCTGTCTTCTAGATGATCGTGTTTAGATACCTGTGCTCACAGCACAGTTTGATAGCAAAATATGTTTTAGAGTGGATACCAGTTTGGTCAGCTGTATGTTATGAGCAACTTATCTATCCTGTTCATTCATCATTGTGTGTATTAATATGGAAGCATCCTCTGACTAAGCTGCATGGGATGAATTTCAGTGCTGTTTTGCTTTAGCTGTCAGTGCTGAAGGCACCTGTTTGTAAGGTAGGGCTCTTCCGGGCCGTGACCAACACCAGTAATTGTCTCAGTGTTGTCCACTCTGTTGCTCTTTCTTTTTATCTAGTTTCAGTGCAGTCATGTAGGCTGATATGCTGAGCTGATTTACAGTTGAACTCCAGTGAAATACTTTTCAATTAAAATAAAATGCTGATTTTACTAAAAGTTCACTAGCCAGATTACAAGCTAATAAACCTGAAAAAGGAAAGACCAGAAAAATCTCTAAATTGGGCTGCTGTTGATCCATACCTGAAAATACTGAGGAAGGGGGGGAAGTACACAATTTGGATTAGCAAGTGTAGTTCTGCAAGGGTTGAACAAGGTGCAGCAGTGTGTTCAAATGCCTCACTGAAGCCCATCTTCTAAGGAGCCATGCCCCTTAGGCTGATTTGCTCTGTTTTCAATATGTGCCTTGGCACCCAGAGAGCTCTTTGTAGGCAGCCCCTTGCTCTGGCTAATTACACTACTTTTGGGCCTGTCAGTGACCTTGTAGTCTGTACCTTACTAAGGTAAATTAGCATGTTTAATGGCTGTATGGCTTTTTACAAAGACATAGATGTATGAGCAAGGAGGGACTACAATGACAAAAATCAACCTCCTTTGTTTTCTTCACAGTAAATGTATTAGACTTAATCTTTTTTTTTTTCCCCTTGGTATATTTTCTGTTCTTAATGTTCTGTTCAGCTCTAGTCGTATTTCCTGTGAGAACTACATGAACAGTTCTGTTCTCTGTTCCCATCCGTGTCTGTCACAAACTTTGTAATGTCTGAATCCATTTACTGACTTTAAGTTTTGGTGGTCTTGCAGACAGGTTAATACAAGGTTTGTGAAGATGAGTAGTGGGCAGAGTAGAGAACATAGAGATATCCCAAGAGGATGAAACTTCATGAGTACCAGGAAAATCTGTGTGATGGTATAACGTTTCAAGTACTGAAATTATAGAGAAAGATTTGCACCCTTAAATATCCAGGCCAGTAAACTGCAAAGCCTAGCTTACAAAGAAACTAGCTTTCATTAGTTCCAGGAATTTAACATTCTTTGAAATGTTGGGATTTCCCCAACCTGCAATTATGGTAATTGTTACACTGTTTAGGTTGAGAAACTTATGTGAAAAATACTTCTAGGGTTGACCTTTGAGCTAGTGAGACTTTACCGGTTAATTCATTTGGATATAAAAAACTTCTAATTTAAAAGAAAGGAAGTATATTCATAAATGTTTGTACCCACTTTTCACAGTAAACAAGGAGAGGAAAACTTGTTGATTCATGAAGATTTAAGGATGGAGTCACAAATGTAAAGAAACATTTTTCATAGTTTTTCAGGTTCTGGCTGACTTGGAAATAATGGGCTACAAAGCATTTGTATAAACTATTTTGTTATACCATTTATGGTTGTATGCTGATTGCATCTAGCAGTTACATCTAAAGTGATAACGTTTATGATTTTGCTTGTCATGCTGACACTCGTTTCCAGAAGCAGTATGCCAAATGTATTACTTTGACTTCATAGAGCCACAGTATTGATAACTCATTTTTTTTTACTCAGATGTTGCCATTGATTCTGCACAGCCTTAGAGAAAGTGAAGATGATGAACAAATATAATTCCAGAGAGTTTGTTGAGTGGATAAATGGTCTCTAAAATACCCCCAAACGCTAGGTGTTTGTTTATCTGTTGCAGAACCATTGCTGTGGTGCTCAAGGTCCAGATGACTGGGACTTCAACATATACTTTAACTGCAGCAGTGAAAGCAAAAGTCGTGAGAAGTGCGGCGTTCCTTTTTCCTGTTGTATACCTGATCCTGCTGTAAGTTGTTTCCTGGCTTTGTATTCCCCTGATGTTGTTGGAGAGGTAGAAAAGGAAGTACTTCCTGTATAAGGTGTGATGATTAGGGCTTTTAAATGATCAAAAATTACCCTTGTGCAGAAAAGCTCTTGTTTCTGTTCCATCCTTTTTAGACTACAAATGTGGCAACCTGTTATACAGCTGAAAATGTATCATCACCAGGAATTCAAGCTATTTTTGTATGGCTTGAGTCTGCAAGTATTGGTGGCTGATTTTTTTTTTTTTTTTTTTTTTATTCCCAAAGCGTTGTTTCCTTGAATTCCTGGCCTCTGTTATCTAGCCTGTAAGGACCTCAGATCACTGTTTTAGATACTGCTTAGGTAGTATATTTGACCCAGGTAGAATTAATGTTACTGTCCCTGTCAGACAAGTAGGAGTAACTCCATTTCCTGATTTTTTTTATTTTTTTTTTTTAACAGCAACTAGTAAAGTGCTTGTGCACTAACTCAGTTTAAAGCATTTGAGTCAGTTGACTGGTTTTGGCAAGACTGAGGTTTTTACTGGTTATATCTGTTTACTAAACTTTAGGAATTTGACCTGTTCAGCCAAAATGTGGAGGTTGGAACTAATATATAATGTTTTATAGTATTTGTTATTTTAGGGAATAGTTACAGCTCAAAGTCAGTCCAGCAATCCTTGTGCAGAACAGATAGCCATTGGTAGGTTATACTAAGCCTTTTAATTGTCTTGGACATCAACCAAGGAAAGACTTTTGGGGCAATATTCCATGTTCGCATTATCCAGTAATAAATTTTGGCTTTAATTTATAGCAGTATTACTCCAGTGCAACTTCTTCTGTTGCTAGTGCTGTATTTAAGGAGACATGAGTATGTTTGAGTCCTCTTAATATGAGATTCTACTCCTACTACTTCAATGTAACTCACTATGCATTGTGTAAATTATGTTATAATTGTATAATACATGTGTTTTCATAAGTCTCATGTAGAGAAAACAAAAAGTCTTAAAAGGAATGTTTTTGCATCTTTGGAGATAGTCATTGGGTTAGGTGGGGTTATGATCTGGAAGGTGTTTATGGTCTTCCTACTTGGGATCTGCAACTGGAGCGTTTTGCCTTCAAGGCTAACCCATCTTGGGGCTGGGTTATGTATGAGACTTGGGACTGGAGAGGGCTCAAGTAGCTTGTAGCTGTTACTTGTTTTAATTGACTAGTATAGCAAGTTGTGTACCACTTGACCTGATGGAGTTGTAAGGCATATTTCTCCACTGCAGGTGTAAATAAATGTCTGGTACCTTTACTGTTACCTCAGTGTTTAGGTGTTACATGAAATAGCTAATGTGACACTGTTCTTGGAAATGCAGGCATCTTCTCTATATGCTGGCAGTGCAGCTGCTGTACTTCCTGTTAAAAAGTCCTTGTTAGTCGAAAGCCAAGTGATAGAAGCAGCTGGGATTTCTGGTGGAGAATGTTTTCTTGCTAGTACACACCTCCGCTTTTCGCTACTTCTCTTGTGTTCTGGTAGTGTTTTTCTCGTTTTTACTAAAAATGCTTCTTAAAACGGTTGGCTCTGGCAGACCTGCTTTTTTTGCCTGTGAATCGAAAAGAAAAACTTCTGTGAACAGAAGCGAGTAGAATTCAGTTGATTTAAAAGAAATCTTTTTTGCTTTGCAGCAAAAAGTTGTGAATACGCAGTGTGGCTATGATGTCAGAAAGAAGGTAAGGTGCTGGGATCTCGCTGTCTGTCATGTGCTGTGCCTGCAGAGGCAAAACTATAACAGTCGTGGAATTGCTGATAGAAATGTCAGCTTAAAATTCTGGGAACTGATTGACTGTGCTACATGATACTATAGGTAGAGCATGGTAGAGACTTTTCCCTTTGTTTAAAGTAAACTTGTACTGTGGGGGGGTGAAGAAAACAAGTGTTGGAAAGGTGTATTTCAAAAATGGATAGGACTTGCATTTCAAATGCGCATTCCAACTACTAGTTACACTAGTCTAACTCTGAATTCTATTATCTGCTAATTCTAAAGTAGCCTAATAACAGGATTTGCAGGAAGATACTAACTTCAGTGTCAGACATTCCCTGATTTAATCTGGGCATATATGTATTTCTGGAGTCTGGTTAAAAATACTACTACATAAGTGACAAATCATTAGTTTAGCTATATCACGTGATTGATTGATCTTATAATAAACTTGAGCAAAAAAAGTAATATTCTTTTTTCCTATATTCAGAGCAAGAGTCAATGGGATGATCAGATTTTTGTCAAAGGATGTATTCTTGCCCTTGAAGCTTGGTTACCCCGAAATATCTACATTGTTGCAGGTGTCTTCATAGCTATCTCACTGCTCCAGGTTAGTTGTTTTTGTTAAGCTACTTTAAAAAAAGTTTCAAGTTTACAGATACAGACCTGCTGAAGGTAAAAGTAGTTGGAGAGAGGTAGAAAGTAAATATTTTGACACTGTTTTTTCTTAGGTATGAGAACAATATGAAAATAAAAAAAAAAAAAAAGAAAATAGTAATGAGGACTTAGAGTGAAAATATCTGATGTCAACTAGTTTAATTGTTGAAATTATGTTCCTCAGAGCAAATTAAAGTCATTATAAAAATACCATACAATTATAATGCATACAGTATATGATGATGGTGATGTACATTGTTATATATTAATATAGCAAGATGCTAATATAGTATTGTTGTTATAGAAAATAATGTGATACAGTAATATTTCTTAAATTTCAATATTCTGTGAGGGAGGGGAGATCATCTGGTCATCTACTCCAATAGATCTGAACTACAGCCCTCTATCACAAATGTGAAATGAGTTAAATAACTCTGTCCTTCATGCTAATATTACCACTCAGCTGGCTGTAAGTGACATGTAGCATACTGCTCAAAAAAAAGTTGAGAATAGAAGAGCAGGGAAATTGGTGAACAGATTTCAAATGTGATACTAGCAGAACCTGATGAAGGAGTTGCTGTGACTTTTTCCAGTACCTTGTTAGCGCTCGGTACATCAGAGAAAAAGAACTAGAGTTCTCAAGACAGGATATCAGATTATTTCTTTCAAGGTGGATCCTCGTTCCATTGTGTCAGTTGTTTACAGTTACCCGAATTTCTTTGCTATGGCACTGCTGCACTTCAGTGGTAATTAACAAACTTGTACATCTACTATAGAATGTATTCTCCATTTAGCTGAAAACAGTTGAGCACAGAGTGCTGGCAAAGTACCTTTTCTCAGCTGTGGTGATACTGCCCTCTGTTGCTTGTTTTTTGATATTTTTATCACCATCTAATGATAGTGCTTCCATGGCTTTGAGAGATGCTGTCCTGAGAACACCACTTTCAGTTAGGAAGATATTCAAGATAGGACAGCTAATCTTTTGACAGTGTGACTGACAGTAACTTGAAGTTGTTCTTATTCATGTCCTCAGTCTCTGTGAAACCACTTTGTTACTTGTATTTTCAAACTGTTTTTTTCCTGTGCATTAAACTATTTCATGGTGGGACTGAGTTAGACATAACCTGACTACTTCTAAAACAAACCCTTTTGGCTTCTCTAAAACTTCACCCTAGTCTTTTGTTGGGTTTTCTAAGAATGGTTTGGGAAATGTGCTGAGTTATGAATTTATCTAAAATCTGTGAAGGAAGATTTCCCTAAGAACTTGAGTAAATGTTGAAATTTCAAATTTACATGTCTCGGAATAATCTGGGACTTTTCTCACTACTGTTTGTGAGAACTTCATTTTAGTACAGGTAATTGTACATTCTGTGTGTATTTAAAAAAAACTGATCAGAAAATTGACTGGATTATCCAAAGTTGTGGAATGAAGGAAAATGCATGATTTCTAACATTAGCCATAGGTAAGCGTAAACATTGTAAGACTCAAACTTAGCTAAGTGGATTTCTTCCAGCTCTGGAGCATCTAGAAGCTTATTATTTTGAATGCTTCTGAAGTGTTACATGAAAGCATCTTTTTCTCATGAGTTTTATTTTCTGCAAGATTCTGCTGCCTATATTACTTTTTAGTAATAGCTATGCTTTGACGGATGATCCTGGCTATGAAATATCTGAGCCTGCAAACACTTTGAATGCCTACCTTCATTCAGTACAGTGTAATAGGAACACATAAGAGTCAGGTTTCCATTCTGCCGTAATGGCTAACGGTTTTAGGCTCTAATTTTTAGAAAGATCTTGTGGACTTGTGCATTACAAGTGTTTTGTCTCACAAATGGTTTGTGTTTTTGTCTTTTTAGATTTTTGGGATTTTCCTAGCCAGGACATTGATTTCTGATATTGAAGCTGTAAAGGCAAGTAATGCCTTCTGAATATAAAAGCAGGCACGTGTTGCAAAAGAAGTGTATTTTATGGTAATTGGTCAGACACCAAGGTGGAAGAAATGCACAGACCATGAAATACTTCTATTATTAAAAGCCTTATGTGGATTTTACCCTGCTCATGCTTTTTATTAGAAACTGGTACAAAAGAATCTCAGAACACACACCTGTCTACCTTTTTTCTAACGAGACAACTCAGTGCATCAGCATTGATCTCCGAGGAAGAAATGGAATTTCACAAGACATTGGCGGAACAGATTTTGAAGATTGTAGCAAGGAGATGTGAAACTGCTCTAAACTTTCCTTGAAAGATTACCATGAAAATTGTCCTGTTTTCACTCCCAACTGTCATCAATCTCAAAATGTAATCTTCTCAGAAGGCGTGCTGATTTCTTCAGAATCTTGAAATCGTTTTAATCTCTACAGTAAGCTCATGCAGTCATTTTTTGGCAAGACACCCAGCAACCATAATTGTCATGGTATTGGAAATTGGATAAAGAAAGTCACAAATTCTTTAGTTGCCTTTCAGTTGTGCAGAAGTAGGGATATTTCTGTTTAACTGAGAATAATGCAGATGTCTCAAGGAGCAGGAATTTGTGCTCCGCATCAGAGTTTGAATAATGCATGTTTTGAAAATGCAGGCATTTTCTCAAGAGGAGAAAACCTGACTATCTGTAGCATTATATGTTAGAAATCTCCATTTCAAGCAAGGGGGTGTGAACCCCTGATGCTGCTTCCTGTGCGAAAAAAAATGTATATATTCCTTATTTATAGAAGAAAAAAACTCATTAAAAATGCTTAGCTTTCTATTGATCAGTAATATCTTTAAAAAGTGTTGTCTGCAGAAATTTCAAAATGCAGCTTGTTTCAGTAAGTAGAAAGCATGGTAAGCTAGCTGTTGATGGTTTTTGCCTTTCCTCTAGTTTCTCTCAACTGCTGTCTTGATCTTCACAAGTCCTAACTGCTAATATCAGGACTGATCAAAAACATTTAAATTCAACACCGATCCCTACTGAAATCTTTTATTAATGACATATGCATTTTGTGAAATATTAGAGTTGCTGAATTTTAAAATTTTCTGTAAAGCTATTGAATCATCAGTTCTGCTTGTATTTTGATACATTGTTCAAACGCCAGTCACAATATGGTGAATCAGAATTTCTTCACAGTAATTTTCTACATCAAACAGAACTATTTCTGCTGAAGTCAGTTTTTTATTTTTGTCATAAGTAAACAACTCTCTTCTTCCTGCCCTCCCTTCTTGGCCGTTCAGTAGATGGATTTGTAGTTCAGGAAGAGTACTAGTCTTCATTAAAAGACTTGGGCATGGTATTTTTAGCTGTAAGATAGAAGTATGTGGATGAAAAGTTCTTGGAAGTAGCTGTAGCTGTCAGTTTTACTGCGGGCCATATAACTAACACTGTTTACTGCTTCCACCATTTTTTTTTTCCAGGGAGAGCAGGTTTATTTACAGTGCCTAACATAGTGTAAATTTTAGTAAAGTATATATTTTTATAATGAAATTTTACTACATGTAGTCTGCCTGAAGGATTTAATATTTGTATTTCCAAAGTATATGTCTTTCTTAGGAAGCCAAACTTTTAAATATCCCCCTAATGTCCTTTTTTCTAGTATGCATGTATTAATGAACATTTCACTGGCAGAAGCTGATCAACAGTAAGAATCTTTGTATTGATTGTCCGGACATCCTTTTAACTTTTAATCTGTGAAGAATTTCACAGACACTGCTGTACTTCTCATGTGTACTTCAGTTCAGCTTTCATAGTTCTTTTTTTTGGCCAGTGATTGAGACAACAGGAAAAGGAAGCTTGTCTAAGGATGGCTGATTTCCTTACAGTAGCAGAGAACAGTCTGCTATTACTCATCTGAAAACCTGAAAGTAAAATTGCTAGAGGTGCACTGTGATTTTTTTTTTTTTTTATTATTATTATTATTTTTAGCTTTGATATACAACAAGGAAACAATAGCAGTAGATCACTGAGGAGAGAGCGAGAGGCATTTCTCTATAAAGCTTTGAATTTGAGGTCTGTATTACTTTATATGTTGATTCTAGTCCATTAGAGGCAGCCAGAAATTTGCTGCTGTGGCTGCTAGTTTGCAAGCAGCAAAGCAGTGTCTAGCAACCTTTGTTTAAACTCTGATGCTTGAAACTTTACACTGCCTCATGAACCAGTTTACTCTGTTAACGTTATGGGTGATAATCTGGTGTATGTAAAATTGGAGAAGGATGCTTTCTATTTGTAACTTTTTATTTGTAAAACATTGCATGGAAAATTGCATTTAGGGAATACATTTCCCTATGCCACAGAAAGCTCCTAATGCTGGGAAGTAATTTCAGCAGTTGGTGAAAGTCATCATGGTGTCAAAGATATCTGTGGAGTTCATGCACTGAAATTAGCAGCTGACAAGAGCCAGTATCATGGTTCAGGATTCCAGTGTCTACAGATCTTGCCAAGTTGCCTGAAGACAAATGAGTACTTGGTTTCTTTTTGAAGTGCTGTTTGTATGCAAAATATAATTTAATTGAAATGTTGTCTTTCCACAATTTGTTCTTATTGGCTTTGACCATATTAACACTAGCTTTGTATCAGTGATCCAGTTGTTTGGAACTGGATTCAGGAAAGCAAGTTCAACCAACCTGTTTGAGGATCTTTGAATTCATGGAGTGATTTGTTTTCACTGTGTATAAACTTCTCTGTGGTTATTCAGTATCACTTTTAAAACCCTGGGGCTCTAGGCTGGTTTACACTAAGACATTCTGAAGTGCATCTCCATTGATTGTACACATAGGTAGTGTAATTCCAGACTTGGAATGGGAATACTTTCTTACCACTTTCTACTTAATTATACTTAGGACCTTCTCTGTGGACCTGCAGTGACTTCATGGCTAAAGGTTTAGGTTGTGGTTTATGAAAGTCTTGTCAGCAAAAGCAGTTGGGTGTGAACCTGCCTCTAAAGCTTTGAAGGAGAAGCAATTCAATGATCTCGCAGAGAGGTTTGGTAAATTGTTGATGTTGAGATTTCAGTGGTTGCATTTGGAACAACTCCACAAACACTACAATGGAAATAAGTTTTTTACTGAAGATGTCAAATATGAGATTGGACTTGAATAACTAGACTGAGAGAAGGAAACTTCAGTGTGATCACTTTTATTTCTTGGAAATGAGCACAATTTATTTCTGTGAAGCAATGTATTTATTTGTCAGTATGCTTGACAGTGCAACTGCCCTTTTGTTTCTATAAATATACCTGTATTTGGACATTTTCCGTGTATGTGAAGAGGAGGATGAGTATAAGCACTGAAAAAAGTGCAGTGACCAAAGGAGCTACAGTTGCCTCCTGAAAACCTTAATATTTCTTCCCAAGGGGTCTTTAGTTTGGGGACCCTCATACAGTGCCACGTGGATAGACTTGTACCTCCTCCAGTCCATTAAAGCTGATGTGGCAATTGGCTTGTATGTAGAATTGCCTTGGGTTTTGACTCCCCATTCCATCCTTTGCTCTTCCTTCCCCCTACCACCTGTGGGTTATCACGCAGCTTGAATGTTGTTTAGGCAGTGGAAGGGGAGCATTCTGTCTCTTTGTCTGAGATGGCTTTTCTCAGTGACTTTCAGTATATTTTTTTTTCTCAAGCCTTACATTTGATTAAATAAAATCTAATGTTTTGTACTCGTGGAGTCTGATTTCTAAGGTTTGTTGCTTCCAGTTGCCAGTATTTCCCTCTCTGAGGTTTAGACTGCCCACTGAGACTGCACTTTGTTGATTAACTACAAAAATGGTAAAGCTCTGCTGGTGTTCATGTGTATATTTTGCTGAAAATAATTCTTGATTTTTTTGTTTTCAGTCTGAGCTGCTGAATAATAGATAACACTGGTTTTTCTCTCCATTGTTAATGGAAAGCCATGAACAAGTAAAGAGTTGCAGAATGGTGTAGAGAAATTATTAAATCTCTGGACACCCAAAAAGTTAAAACTTTTGTTTGCACTTTGACTGCCATTATCCACAGATTTATCACTTTTGTGATTTGCACAGTTTATGGTTTGTCGTGTCTGAGCAATGTTCCTACAACTACTCTTAAGAGTGCAGAAGGAAAGTAACTTACAGGTTTCAAGATGAGACTTACAGAAATAGCCTTGTGTCTGCTGCTTTGACCATTTTAATGTTTCTTTAATGCATTAAAACTTGATTTTAGTTTTAATAAGGTCAGAGAAACATTTAACCAATAGATAATGGCTATATTGGAATAATGAAATATCTAGAATTAGACACTGTAGAAAGTTAAGGCTGGATCATTTCTCATAAGAGTGACTTAACTTGAATGTGGTTGTTTGGTGTGTGTGTGTGTGTGTATAACTTGTAATAGACCTTTATATATCTTATACTAATGCCTGGTTTGGGCACATCCCCAGATCTTATTCTGAAATTGAAATTGTCTGAAGCTATTTCTCATTTTGACGTTGGGAATGTGTAGGATGCCCATATCACTGTGTGTTTTAAGCCAGAGGAAACTGCACATGGTTCAGCTCTTGTTTTTCTGTTCTCCTACTTCTCTTACTTCTGAAAGTGCTATTTGATGGTAAATATAGTGGGCTAAATAGCGGTAACAAGTTTTGCAAATGGGAAAGCTTTTGCAGGAACAAAGTTGTAATGTTTGTTTGCAGACATAAGCCAGTTATACTCAAAATGCTTGAGAACAGGAGGCCTTGTTGACTTTTGAATATTCTCTGCTTTACAACAGTTTTGTAAAGGTCAGTAATTTCCCATGGTGTTTCACAGTAACTTTTACTGATGGCTAAAAAAGTCACTGTTCTCTAGCTATTCAGTATCTACCGCTAGAGGGTTTGAATTTGATCTCCTAGGTCTTGGCACTGCAACTCTGCAACATACCTGCAACTGGTTCACAATGTTCCCATAAGAACAAGTTGTGCGATAGATCCTGTTACCTTTTGTACCAAGTGACCATTTTTAAATGTGAAAGGTTTCTGTAGAAATGTTGAGACACTTGTTTTACTACAATTTTTCGCTATCTAAAGTTAAAGCCAGGTTCTCTTACTGGAGATAACTTAATGAAATGCCAGCTGCCTCCAAATCTTCACACCTGCCCACTTGTAATTCCCAATTAGCTTTAGTTTGTTTTTTGTCTGAGCACTGTATGGACATTGAGTGCAGTTTATGGTAAACTTTGCTTCTACTGGGTCTCATTCCAGGTTACAATAGCTGCAACTCTGAAATTAGGACAAGACCATGACTTCAGATACTTAGGAATATAGCTTGTGACGCTAGCAGGTAAAAACTCCCATGAGCTTTCAGATTCTAAATTGAAGGAGGACTTGGTTTAAAGGTACAGTTTTGTGGTGGTTTTAACTTGCACAGTTAACAACTGGGCTCACAGGTTGATTCACAGTGCGCAGAGGTTGAACTGTTGCCAATTAGCCCTTTGCATTAAGCTACAGCTCTCATCTAAATCTAAAATCCCATTGGTTTAAGTTGCATGATACAAGCTTGAGATTTTTTTAAATGATTTTAAAGTCCCATTGATGCAAGAAAAAGTTGCAAGTTATATCTTGATTTGACAAAACCAAGCAGCTTAAAATGTATGAGAAGCATCAGGTAGGAAATTACTTTTGTAATTTCAAAAACGACTTCTTGATAGGCCTCATTCCTATTGCTGTGTGTTAGTAGCTCAGTGAAGAGCAGCAGTGATGCAAGTATTTGTAGGCTAAGTAGGTGAGCAAATGAGTTGGTGTTTTTTTTTTGTTTTTGTTTTTTTTTTTTTTTTTCCTGTATGTACAGCTTTGAAAACAGGAGCTGTACCTGAGCTTTAGTAGTGTTGGTTTTGTGGCAGCATGACAAATGTGAGGTAGGGTTGGGAAAGCTGGTGTTTCACTGCTTTGCCTCAGGAGCAGTGCAGGGTTGCTCTGGGGAAGAAGGGAGGCTAGTGGATGTTTCTCCTCTCAAAACCTGTAATGTTGTGATGGCTCCCTTGACCACATTTGCATTGCTGTGACTGCAGAGTTGTTCAAGGGTTTCTTTAATCTTGTCCTCTTCTATTTCTTGTCTCAGATCACCTGAATGGGAGACAAAATGCTGACTTTTTAGTGACATGCCATGGCATAGTGGCTCCCAGCAATTGTTGTAAGATCAAAGTTTGGAATACTTGCAGTTTAAAACGAGCTGCTTTAATTTAAATACCTTTCTCTCAATAGATAACCTTTCAGCCATTGAAAATATTGAACAGGTTAAGATTTTTCTTTCTCCTGTTTGACTTCCAAGAACTGATTGAACAGAAGAAAAGCACTTTGCTGAAAATATAATACAGGACAAGTTCCAGCATTTGTTTTCCTGTATACTGTTTGTTAGTCTTTCATATTAGTAAGATTCAAGTCATAGTGTTATAGTGAGTCTATAAAGCGCTAAGTATATACACCTGTGGAAAAAAAAGGTCATATAGATCAAGTCTGTTGTGTCAATACTATGTGGTAGCACTGAAGGATGCAAGTGCTTACCCCTGTTCCAATGTATACATGGCTACAGGGTAAAAATAGAGTATACTGCAAAATCCAGCTTGTCTGCCAATATAGAGTGGCTCCAGGATCTGAAGGGCAACTCTCCATGTGGCAGATCCTTGTCTGAGCAAAATCATTATTTTCAATTTGCATGATATATATATATTAAGGCATCAGAAACTGTCCTGAGAGCTTTGGACACCCATTTTCAAGGTAGTGTTGTTTTCAATTAGTGCCACACATCCAGGATGAGTCTGATCTTGCTCAAAGCATTTTAAGTCTTCCTTAACCATGGAGTTAGAGAAATTTAAATCATATCCTTCATATGTTTTACTAAAAGTTGCTGTGCAAAGGCAGCATTGCCAAAGTTGCTGTTTTATCTCAGCTGCTGGTTTGCTTACAGCATAGGCAGAACAAATGTATGCCTGCCTGTGGAAGATGGTAGAGACTCTTTATTTCTTTGAACACAAAACTGCTGTGATACATACAGGACTTGGGACTGCGAGACATTTGTGCATGGTGAATTTGGACAATGATGCCTTTATTCCAAGGCTCTAATTTTGCTATTTATGACTTATGTCACAGACTCACTGGAATAAAGCCTTTCTTTTTTTTTTTTTTTTTTTTTTTTTTTTTTTTCAACTGATTGTTTAGTCAACTTTCCACAAAGAAAGAAGCTATTTGTCTGGGATTTTTGGTGATCAATAAAGAATGAACTTCTTTAATATCCTTTACTACTCATTGACTGCAACATTGCAAGCAGCACACTTCAGTAACAGAAAACATTTGTGTTTTCATCACAGATATCCATCCTTTCAACACAGACTACTTAAAACGAAGTTACCTGAATTAAGAAGATGGCACAAAAGGCCCATTGAATTATATTTCACATCAGGACTTGTATTATCATCTTGTAGAAGTTTGTGTAAGCTTTGAACTAGCTGTGTTTCCTTAAAAGATTCTTCAAGGGTTCCTGAAAAATAAGTAAACAAATACCTGAACTGTTACCTGAAAATAAGCTAGAAAATGAACATGCTTGCTTTTTAAAAATAAAACTCCTGACTGGCTTCATTTCAAATTGGCTATAGAGGGATGCCTTGAGCATCTCTCTTCCATACTGGAGAATTTTTGTACAGTGTTTCTTCAGTGGCCTCATTCTGGAAGACAAAACCTGTATACTATAGATTGTATAAAATAACCTTGTAATAGATTAAAATTTCCAATGATCAGTGTTAGAAATGCTGATTCACATTAGTTGCCCAATTGAATTTGAGAAACTTAATGGTGGACCAAGCAGTAAAATGGGCTCTTTACTGTCTTACTTGTTGGTATATAGGAAATTCCAAATTTCAAGTTGACTATCTCTCTTCAGTTTATCTTTTGATGTATGCAGATTTTATTATAAGAGACCCATTTTCAAATGTCCTCAGTCATACAGGAAGAATCTGAAAAAAAATTATGCTCAATCTCTCTGAAAATTACCTCAGGAAACGTAGTTAGAACCTTTACAGTTTTCTCACTTGTTTCATTTGCACCTTCTACAAGGCCCTCTTGTCTATGCTTCTGCTTTATTCTCTCCTGCATTCAAATGTCTGTCTTCTGAAAATTATTTCCTCCATTTGTAGTCTTCATTGACCATTCAAGTTCATAATTTGTCATTTAATTTTGTCTTCATTTAGACTTTCTTGACTTTTTCTCTAGTCTTTGCTACCTTTATTTTCCTTCTGTTCTTTTGTATAGATTTCTAGCATCCTACCATGTTCCTCACAATGGATTGTGCTTGTCCACACAACCTGATCATTTGACTGTACACCAAACAAAAAAAAATCTTCAGGCAATTCCTGAAGCCTGTGATCTTCTGGATGGCTGACTTCTTCATGCTGAAGAGCTGAATCTAGACAAGAAGCACGCTTTTCTTACATGTTATGTAGAATTAACAGCATGGTAATGTTTCTTAATAATTGAGGATCTCACACAGATAAGTGCTTTTAGGAGAAAAATACCTAAATCGATTGCAGATGCTATTTTCAAGGCATTCAGAGCCTCATTCTGCATGGCAGCATGCTTGCTTGTTGTCATGGAAACCAGGTGCTTCACTGCTTGTGCCTCCTGGATGGCTTTGACCACTTCCTGTTAAAGCAAATGTGAAAGACCACAGATGGAAATCTGACTTAGGAATAAAGTAGAATGAAGAGAAAAATGAGATTGCACTCTTCAGCCTCAGAATAAATGGGAATTATTTGCTTGCTGCAATACAAATTGATGATATTTGAGGATTAGAGATAATATTGCTTTTGGCACTGGTTGTACATGTCTGCTTAGGGCTGATCTAACTTACTTGGAATATCAACACATAAAAATCATGTATATTGATATCTAAATATAAACTTATATGTATTGTCTCAAGAGTTAGTTTGAACTTATTCCAATTTTTCATTTCAAGACTTCAAACTACCGAAGATTAGTTTTATTTTACGGAAGTGTGTGCAGATAGTATCTACTTTTTTTATCACTACCTCAGAGTGAAACATGGTTGGGATGTCTGTTTATGATAGCACAGTTTACAACAAACAAAGAAGCCTTTTTTAATGCAGATACAGATCACGCCAGATTCATCCATCACTAGATGGATCAGTGGGCTCTTTGGAGCTCCTAGAGGACTGACATTAGGGGCAGGTCTGGGTTATATTTGTCATTCCCATTTGAAACTAATATTTATGGAAATTGAAAAGCTTTAGCTACTTACCGTTTGTCAAGCTGTACTCAAGCAGGGTAAAAGTTGACAAGTGAGAGTAAGTAGCCATGTTTCTTGTTTCTGTACAGTATCTGTAGTTACCGACAGCACTGCTTTCCTGCTCGCCTCCCCCTTACTGGTATTGAGGCAGACCAGAGGAGTTTTTACTGTGCACTTTCATGTTTTTAACAATAAAGCTATATGTGCTGTCTAACACTTAACTCCTAGCTTTATTGACAAGCTTTTAAAAATATTTGAGAAGGATAAAGTAGAAACATATCAGACTGATAGCTCTCATACTTGGGATCTGTTGTGACGCAAGATTGATGCTAGCAGCCGATTTGCTTCTCCACGAACACCGGTGTGGTCATTGGCATGGCACCACTGCACAAGTCTGTTGAGCAGCATGGGGTCTTGGCCCAAGATTTCAGCTGCATCAGCTGAAGAGAAAAACATCATCAGGAGACATTAGAAATCAGACTTCTCATTCTTTCTGTCACAGAAATGTGAATGTAGAAGTAGCGGGGACCACAAACCTGAGTTTAGTATCCTTTAAGAGTGGTAACTAAAACATTGGGCTTTTGAGAGATCTTGGAAATCTTTATCCGAGGAATGTCAGTTGTGTTAAAGCAACTCTTGGGGGTAAAGAACAAAGTAAGCTCTTCCGATAACCCTAGCCTTTTTAAGAGGCTGCTGAAGCAAGGCTTAAAATGAGCAGCTTCATACTTTTGACAGCAAGTATTCTATTTCTATACTGAGATCTTCATGAGGACTGTCCCTTTTCTGCTTGGTTTCTTGCACGTGCTCTTTGAGCCCTGCAGAAATGTAATCATGGGCTCTTCAGAGCCTGTTTTTGCTGCTTCAGTGCTTTCAGTAAAGGTGGTAATTACTGTTGGTAGCATGTGTGAAGCCAAGTCTTGGTACATAATTGCAGCATGTCTGTAACTGCCTGTTTCAACTCTTAAGAATGTGTGTTGAACTGTGTATTGAGCATCGTCAGAACTTCCACCAGAGTTTGGAGGAGCCTTTTAATTTGCATTCCCCTGTGTTTCAGGAACTTTATTTCAAGACTTGCTAGAAGTATTAATCTGGGTGGTTGGCATTTAGAAAAAACCCTCACTAGATAAGTTTTCCTAAGAAATGGAACTCTAATGATACGCTGTGGTATAAGGCTTGTTGCTGCTAAGGGAGACTACTCCCAAAGCTCTTAGAAGTTCAGCAGCAAAAATAACTTCACTCATGCTCTCTCTCTATATTGCATCAAGTCTAACATGTGGCTCCACATGAGTCTTATTGCAGTTTAATAACATATCTTCAGAGTACTGTGGATCAAAAGTGACTAACTGGTGGAAAGTGATTTCCTAAGCAAAGGAAAAATGCAGGTGTAAGGGCACTGAGAACTGTGAAATACTCTGTTTTGACCAAATATGTTAAGCAGGGGTTCAGCTCTGAGAATGTCCTGGTAAATACTTCTTCAGTAATTTCAGTTAGTTGATTCTGTTCAGTATTTGAGACTTTGAATTTCTACATCTTGGTTCAACTGGAATTTTCTTCTAAGTGAAGGATACAAGGAGAAAGATAAGAAAGTAGTTATGTGCACAGCTTAAGCTGCCTTTTTATAGGAATTGAGTGCTTACCCATTTGGCTTTTAGCACAAAAGAGCTGTTTCATAAACTGCTGTTTCTATGTGTTCCAGTTGATAATAAACCGAGGATATAAAAGCACAGCACTTGCAACTGGGCACCAGATGTAGCAACTGAGACACAAGAGTGGTCACAGGACAGATCCCCACTTTTTGGTGCAGAATTACTCTATTTGCAAAAATACACTGTTGTTATAAGATTTAATTTAAGTTCAGGAGTGTCATGTGATTATTTGTAATTGAGGGGTTTTCTTGTTGACTTAATTTTGGTTATTTTGACTCCTGTCCCATGCCCACCCCCCACCCTCAATGCTGCAGGACCAGAGCAGATGAGCATCAAATGTGCGTTGTGTTCTCTGAAGAAGAAAGTGTGGTAAAGGCCTTCCTGGGAAGTGTACACTCCCTAAGAAGGGCTATAAAGGGTCTGTGAGCTTTTTCTAGTCCTTGCTGCTTTTGTAGTCTTTTGAAGTAGTTCCAGGCCTGAAAGAAGGTAACCAGGGAGACTCCTGCTCCTTTGGAAGCAAATTCAGAAAGAGAAAAATGTGGGGAAAAATCTGCATGGTTTTAAGATTCTGGGAAGCTTGTCTCTTGGATATTTATTGAAGGAAAGACTTGAAGAACCAGCATTAACATCTGGAACAGAAGGGATAGGTTTAGATGTTAGGGGCATCACCCTGCTTCTGCTTGTTTACCTCTCCCTCTCTGCGTGTGTTACATTTGTTTTGAGATATTATGAAAAAGGTCAAATAGACTGTGCACCAGAAGGTCAGTGTCAATAAACCACAATTACTCTGCATCATTTGCAGAAGCTGTAAGTCAACCTCTACTCTTACTATTTTGGGGAGGGAGATAAGGTGGGATGAACACTTCCTTTTTTTTTTTTTTTTTTTTTTATTTGTCTGGTACACTAAGGAACAATCCACAGCCAAAATTCCACAAGGAATCTGGGAACTTCTAGCCTAGTTGAACATGTTTGTTTTGAGATAAGAATCACTTGTTACACAACCACCTCCTTAAAGGCTTTTGTTTCTAGGTCAGATGTTACATGTTAGTCTGAGGGGATCATGGTAATCCAGTTTAGTACAGAAGGCTGAAAGAGTTAAGGGGGTGATGAATGGAACCAGTCTAAGAGGTTTGTTCAAAGGAGAGGCATCTTGACCCAGTTTGACAGGGACTTCCTGATGTCTACCAGCAATAGAGCTGTTTGAGATAAAACCCAATTAGTTATTCTTAACAGAAACAGGAGGACCTTTTAACTTACAAGACACCAAATTTGAATAAATTGTGTGTATGATTGAACTTTAAGTTGAACTGAAAGCCCTCTGGCTGTTGAAGTGCACAAATTCTTCTGTTCCTCTGAAGCAAAACAGTGGAAAAAACAGGAGTTAACATCTCTTTAGTGTAATGAAGCTGACAGATCTGACTGCAATTTTCTGTTGTTAAAAAGAAACATACCTACCCCTTCTATTCTGTAGACCTCAGCATGTCCAGTGATTGTCAGAGTAATGAATTTATACTAGATAATGCAATTAACTAATTAAGTATGGACTTCTTAGTAGATGTGTATTCATAAGAGTTTCGGGCTGAGTTAATTAAGAGCAATGTTATCTCATGGGTAAACAGAATAGAAAGTAATTAAAGGTGGGAGAATTGTGTGCTCATAGGCAGGAATGGGTAAACATTGAATAATCTCCTACGTCTTTTTTTCTACTCTACACTTTGATACCTTTGATATAGAAATGAAAGCAGCTTTTTACTGGACTGGAATCAGTGCAAATTAATGAGTGCTAGATCTAAATTTTATATCATGCATATTAATTTGAAAAAGGATGCAAGTAGCTGCCATATCAAAGTGGTGTCTGCAGTGATATGAGTACAGCATTAAATGTAAGAGTGGGTTTTTTTTCCCCTTCTGTATAACTAATGAATTTGTGATTGTAATTGTTCTATACCAGCTGTCAGTTCCCATTGCAAAACAGTCATAATTTTTCTGATTCTGTTTTTGATCTATTTCTTGTTCCTGCACATAAACGTGGTTTGTACAGATTAATGTTCTAGAGCAGCTGCTCTGGTGATGTGAAAGAATTAGAACGCTTATCAAAAAACCTCAAACTCTACAACACTTCTTTTTCTGTTGTATTCTGGTAAGAAGCTAGATAAATGTAAGGATAAATTAAGATATTGTAGTAGATCATAACATAGTTCTGTTATTGTGGATGTTTCTCAAAATGCAACTATATGGACAGAGTGAATATTTCTGCCTTTGCATATCCACCTCTGTAAAACTGAATGGTGAGGTGATAATCCCATATTTCAATATGGAAAGTAAATTTAACATTTGAGCCACACCAGCAAGATAAACCTGTCAACATGTGTGTAGAGAGAATGTGTGACTGGTAGAAACCTAATTTCTCCTGCCCCTCTCCACCCCAGCTCCCTTTTATCCTTTAATATTCTCCAGTTCTGTTGATTTGCTTTCCTGCAATTTGGCACTGTAAATCCTTAGCCCGACTCTTTTCCATCATACTCATGTTTTGCTGGTATATCCCTGGTGGAAAACATCTTTCTTTTAGGCCTTTGCCATTTCTCACTGACTTGTCCAGATTCTTCCATTTGGTTAGTTTCTCATCTACCTCTGAGGCTGACTGGGTCAGTATGGAAGCCTTGCGGCCTCCAGCAATCACCTCTGATGGAAGATCTCCACATTGAGAGGAATGAGGTTAGCAAGACGCTTAGCCTGTAGTCTCCTTGCACATCTGTTTTCTTGCAGGGGGAGAGTAGGAGGGGGATGCATAGCTGACATCAGTAAACATTAGAAATTCCCTACCTTGACCATCTGCTAACATCCGTAGTGTTCCAAGAAGTTTAAACTGCACAGGAGGCATCTCTGACCTTAGAAGTGCTTGAATCCGTTCTGCCACGCCTTCCTCCAACATTTGAACCTTGTTAACAACTAGAAAATGGGAAAAAAAGATGTTGATGTGAAGCTCAGTAACTATACAAGCGTCTGAAAATATAGATACAACATAACTGTTGTTCTAAACTTCATGATCTCTTATGCTCTTAACAAAAAGTCCAACTTTCTGAGAGCACTCAGAAATGAAGTCAGGACTATCCAACTTATCTTTTGAGCTAAAAGATTCATAAGAATTGCTCTTATAATTTGATTACTTTTGATCTTAGACCTGCCTGGAATTAAGTACATAAAAAAGGATAAACACAGCATTGTTGTTTCTCTTCCTTTCTCTAGTTATAATAATTACCCATCCATTTGCCCACTCACATGAATAACCCTTTCCTATGCTTGCTCATCTTAACTGAACAGAGTGACAGAAGTGATTTAAATAGCCATGTTTTTTGAGAATGAATTTTCTATTTGAGCTATTCTTATATGAGCTCACTGATCCCCTGTTGTTCATGCCTTTGCTTCTGTGCTTTCCTAATTCTTACATCTTCGCTCCAGTCGTTAGTGCAGTAATCCCTGGTAATAATCAGAAGCTTGTCTGGAAAGAGTCTTAATGCTGCTTAACTGTGCTACCAAAAGCTGCTTCCTCCAGAGCAATTTTCTTCCCATCTTCTGTATGCCCTTTTTTTGAAAAGGGGGTGGTAGTGGGGGTGTAGGTGACAAGACATTGACTTTAGGGAGATAACTGTTCTATCCCTCCTTTCATTGGGCAAACTGAGAAGCAGATATTGTTAAATAACTAGCTCTTAATGTCCTTGTTTTTCAGTGGAACAGACTGACTCCATTCACTAGAGTGTAATGACTATTTTCAATTTTTTTTTTATAAGCACCTGTTCTCTTTTAAGATCACCACTTGAATTGACTTTTCCTGTGCCCATTTGCAAGTATTGGGCCATATATAATTCATATTTGTTTTACAAATTATTTGGATTTGCACTCTTTATTTATTTATTTATTTATTTATTTTTATTTTTTTCTTCCTGAGGTAGCTGTCTATATTGTTGAAAATGATAGTTTGTTCATTTCTAGAAGTGATGTACTATTGTGAAGGAATGTCTTACAGCTTCCATATTCTGATATTTTTATGAATTGGTAAGTAGAAGTACAGTGTAGGAATAGCATTTTAAGTGCTATGCATTGCCCACACACTTGGAAAGATCTAAAATGATTTGTAATAGGCTTGAACATAAGAGGTAACATAAATAGACTCTGTATTGATACACTGATATTTTATAATTTAGAGTTGAGCCTTTTAAAGTACAGCTGCAAAGAACATTGAGGTCTACTGGTACTATGTGTAGCAGGCAGTGATATAGGGGTAAAGTTGTAGGTTGCAACCACATTTTTTGGAGTTTTAGATTCTATAATCTTTGGTTTGTTAAGGAACTCCCAAGGAATGCGTGGGCTTGGTATTACAAAAAGTATTTGTTGAGGAATGTGGTTTGTTGTGAGTTGGGATGTGATCATCTCTGCTTGTTGTCAACAGAAACTACATCAAAAGTGCTGTCTTTCAGATGAGAATAATTAGTATCTTTGCTGCTTATAATCATTAAATCCTGTTGTACATACTGCAGGAGTGAAGTCAGGGAGAACTAAGCTAAGCATGGGACACCCCTAGGCTTATAGAAGAAAATCCACCTTTTCATTCTAATAAAGATAGTTACATTTTTGCCTACTAAGTTACTCTAATTTCAGCTGTATGGCTCTCTGATTTTTCATGATTCTATTATTTTCTTCAAATAACTCTGTGTTAGGTTGTAACTGCTGTAAGGTAGCTGGCTTGCATGGTCAAAATACTGTGTACTTTGTTAGCACCGAAAAGCAATTTGCACAGGCCTGTATCTGCTGATGTGAATGGTGCTAGAAAATCTCTTCACAGAGAGGTAAAATATACAGAGAAGCAGTGAGTGGTTTATGGTGTGAAATATGTTTATTAAAATGCTGAATAATCAGAACTGGCTGGTTATTATGATCCAGAGTGTGATAATACTGTAAGCCAAACTAAATAAATTACTTGAGAGCATATCAAAACTAAGTTGAAAGAAATAGGTGAAGTTCTGAAGAGGGCTCTCTGCAAGAAGTGGTTGAGTGTGTTTTAGTCTTTAAAAGGTAGTGGAGGCAAAGCAGCAACGAGTATATTCTGGGACTCTCACTGGTTCTAAGCAATGGTTATGTATAAAACTGTTAGACCAAGCATGCTGACTAGCTTGCATAAAACTGGCACACAACTTAATGTTCTTTTATTTTCAGAAAATAGCATTGGTGTCGTGCTCTTTTCTGGGGTACTGTGTAGCAATGTAAGGACCATGTTGCAGGGTGCTGGACTATTAAGTCTCTAGCAAAACATTTTTGGACTCAATTGTGCTTCACATGGAAGCAGGAAATTTGAGATGAGAAGCAGCACAATTTTCTGACGTGTATTAACAGAAAATCACAAGAGTAGAATCAGAATAGTTTGGGTTGGAAGGGACCTTTAAAGGATATCTAGTCCAACTCCCCTGCAGTGAGCAGGGACATCTTCAACCAGATCAGGTTGCTCAGAGCCCTGTTCAGCCTGACCTTGAATGTTTTCAGGGATGGGGCATCTATCGCCTCTCTGGGCAACCTGTGCCAGTGTTTCACCACCCTCATCGTAAAAAATTTCTGCCTCACATCTAATCAAAATCTACCCCGCTTTAGTTTAAAACCATTGCCTCTTGTTCTATTGCAACAGGCCCTACCAGAAAGTCTGTCCCTGTCTTTCTTACATGCCCCCTTTAAGTATTGTTACAAAGGCTGAATTTGCACGCAATATTGGCTTTATAGAAGAGGAGTAGATTTATGAAATTCCTACCAGCTGTGATGTGATGACTTAAACTTCAGAGTATGGGGTGGAGCTATAAACCCTGTTCTGCATTTTTGTCTTGAACTGCTGTATGCTGTTAATATGAAGCCATTTCAGCAGCTAACAATGACATTACACTTTATTATACTTAGACCCTTTATGTAGATAAGAAGTCCTGGTGAATTACTCAAATATATATGTCTCTGCAGGGGGAAAAAAGGTCAGTTGCCCCTCAGAATACGAGGGACTGGAATTGGTGACTTGGACAGAGCTACACAGATCTCCATTAAATGACCCATCTTTACATAGAATCACAGTAAGTCAATTGTCTTCAAACTCTGTACCTGGTATCGCAAGGTTTCGGAGTGCACTGAGTGCAGCATGTTGAACAGAGATGTCCCCACTCTCTACATGTTTCTCCAAAAGATCCAGGAGCTGATGTATGACTCCCAGCTGTACCATTCGTACACAGTTGCCATCTGAAGAAAGAGGCAAGACCAAGCAGGTGAGAGAGATGAGCACAATGATAGAAATTAATCATGCAGATTGAGAAGACAGGGAGTGTTTGCCTTGACTGTTTGCATTTCTGATAAGATTGAGACTATAGCTTTTGCATTGTTTTTTACAACCTTCAACTCTTTAGAGATAAGTGGACATCAGCTACCTGTGAACTGATGCTCTAGTAAAGCATACCTTGAGAGAGCTTTCTAGGGACAGTCTCTCAAATTCAAAGCCATGCACTGTCCAGTGAAATTATTCCTCAATACTACTTTATTTTCACAATGTATGTGGTGGAATACTGGTGGAATTTCCATTTTTCCACAGGAGAGCTTTAATACTCCAGTTTTGCTATTCTACTTGTTTAAGAGACTGTTGTGAAACCAGAGATCTTATCCAGCAGTGGTGAGTCTGGTTACTAGTTTTGTACCGCTGTTACTCATTGTACTCAGTCAAATAATTTGTCATTAACTAATCATTGAAAGTATCAGGCCTAGATTTTTCATATTTGTTTTGAGAAACTTCCTGAAATTAGAAGTCTAATTGTGAAGCACTCAGAACCTAGAGAGTACTGATCTGTTTAACACTAGTGAGAGAGCAGATTTGTACATCCCAAAGAATGACCATTTTGACCAGTACATGTTCTGCAATATTTTGTCATTGCATGTCTGTATGTCTCCCTCTCTCTTTGAGAACCTGCTCTGCAGAGGTGACAGCTCTTTTGTCATCAGAAGCTATGTCGTTCACCTTGATAGGAAATGAGGAAAGTGTTCCCTAAAGAGAAAAAGGAAATCCTCCATATTACAGTCTGCAGCTTTCCTGAAGAAAGTGTTTTGAAGATGCCATTTGGCAAATATTTTTCTGTTTTTCATCTCATGCAGATGAAGAAGCACGTTCCCGACACCAGTCAACACATCCTTATTGTTGTGCTGTTACCACGTGAATGCTGTTTGTTCAAATGTGGCAAAACAGTGTGAATGCTATATAGGAAGACCACTTCTTCACCTTGAGTGAACAATTATCCATGGAACTATACAGACTTGCTGCAAATACAGAATCTGGCCAAAAGTAGCTTTAGGTGCTTCTCATCGTACTAACTGCATGCCTGAGATGTACAGACTTCTAATTTTTCTGCGTACACCACTTAAAAATGGCTCTAGTAATTGTAACACATTTTTTGGTTTGAATGTTATTTCCACCCCAAAGTAGCAGAAACTCCTTCATGTTGTCTTTTGAACCGATATTGCCTACTATTCTTTCAATCTCTTAGCATTTCAGTTAGTAGCATATTTTCTCCCTTGTATTACTATATGTTAAATGAGAATTTGTCAAATGCTTATAAAATATAAGTGGATATTTTTGTAAGAGAACTGTCAGTCTGTGAAATAGTTCCAATTATACTCATGCAAAAATCTTTTGATAAGAATTTATGCACACACTTTAAAGCTGATGATTTTGCTTGCAATTCTTCAAATGTTCTCTTGCCTGGTCCTAATTTTTGGACATCAGAGTGTATGTGAAAAATTGCCCAGTTCTCTTTAGGAACAGGTTCTCTAGGTTCTCTTTTGTTCTGACAAAATTCTGCAGGTGAAATAGTTTTATGTAGACTAACCGTAATTGAACTTAATTTCTCTCCTCTCCCCACCTTTCAAACCAAAGAATGGCAGAGCACTTTTTTCCTCTTTTAGTAAAGCGTGAATAGGCAGAACCCATTAATGGTTACCTTGCTTTGATTATTACAGAGCTCCAAATTGGTTCTCTCTCCTATGGATTTTTGCTTGGATAGCAGCAGAACCTTCAATTTAATGGCTCATAGTTAAAGTCTAATAGGAACAGCCACTTTTATAGCTGAAAAAGCTGTCTGTCATATTTTCACTGCCTCAGAAGTAATTTGATGCTGAGATCAGATTTCCATAGGATTTTTTTTTTTCTCTTAGATTTAAGGCTGTGCATACATCAGTGGCACATACTGGGGCCTGAGAGGGATAATTCACTTTGTCCACATGAAACCTCTAATGGGGTTGTGAGGAAGATGAAGGGAGAAGAGTGAGTGACAAAGCAAGACATTCAGCTGAATAAATTGAAGATAGCCAGTTTAAGGACACCGAGGGCATTTCTGTGGCATTTGTAGAACTGTGATGCCCAAGGGCTGATTCGGAGCAAGGTATAAGGCAAGAAAGAAGGGGCATCTAGAGAGGATGTGGGGGGAGGTGGAGAGATGTGTATATGGTAGCTTGCTGTGAAAAAAAGAAAAACAAAAAACCAAACAAATGGGACTGACTAGCTAAACATTCAAACGGATGTGAGGGGTCGTTTATGATAATTAAGCATGTATTAATGCAGAAAGTTGAACAATGTTGAAAAAGCTCCTTTTTGTTAGTTGAATTTGATCCCGGTTCAGTAGCTATCAGTGAGAAAGGACAGAAGACATGGTGAGGTATCTTCTGCTGACTGATGCAGCACAGCATGCCTTCTAGGAGTCTGTTTATAAGAGTCTCTCTGTGTTTCTCTCTGCATAATATTAAGGCTCATTGCTTTCTATAATAGGAAAGTGTGAAAGATAAAATGGCTTATCTTGAGATTTCTTTTTTCCTCCTGATGTGTCTGAGTAACCCTCCCTTCCTGAAAGTGACTTAAAACCTAAAACATCAGTAACTACATCTTATTTTTTGTATTTTTAACACATGTATTTTCCATGAAACATTTCCAGAGTCTCCCCTCTAATAATGGGTGATTTAGGAAAAAAACAACCAACCAACCAAACAAAAAACCCCCAAAAAACCCCAAAGTAGAAAACTTGAATACCTGACCACCCCATTTTTCACAATTATGTCCCTCGAACTACTTCAATATCACTAGCATTTGTAATTTAAAGGTACAGAAGTCTCTACTCTGCAGATAAGCAAGAATGTTACTGTTTCAGAGCCAGGGAGCAACGAAAGCTAAAGTGTTGCTTTTCTCTCCACTCATAAAAAGTGGCTTTCCTTCTTTGAAGGGCAGAGAATAACCAACCTTCCCATTTTTTTGTAAAATTAGCAATAGCTGTTGCTCCTGTCTCTGTAGCTGCATGTGTTTGAATGTGATGCAAGTATCAATATTCTGGGAGGTGATATCACATCCCTTAGCAAAAAAACTTCTGCATGTACTTATCTGTAGTATGACAAATAGAGAGAACGTCTCATATCTGTTTATAATTTGACCCAAAGTGAACTGTTCTGTCTGTCTTTGGGGAGACTAGCATCAATGATGACTTAAAGATTGTTGTTACAGTTAATAATTTAAGACTTTTAAATTGGTAGTTGCTTTGGGATTGGGGGTGGTGGGATGCAGTATAAGCATCCAGTTCGTGATGTTTTATTCTTTAATTTATATTGCCTAAATTAGTACATCACAGAGCCACCTAAACTAAGTTGCTGTTAGGTCTTTAGCCTTTTTATGTTGTTCCTGAAATCAGCTTAAAGACTTAGTGAAAAATCTAGGTCAGCAGTGTGTGTAGTCTGTTCCTAATAGATAGATGCAGAACCTACCTTACAAGGAAGTTCTTACATTTAATTTATTAATCCAGATGTTTGAAGTATGTGCACAGATTTGGAATGGTGAATGAGGAAACATGAGTAGTTCAATTCCATGTGAACTTAATCTGATAATTAGCTTTGAATTTAAAACGGGCTCTTAAACCAGCTTAGAAAGTAAATTTATAGAAGCAGTGTGTGAACTGACAACCACAGGTACAGCTACAGTGGCCTGAAGTTCTTGTGTTTGTGTTATGTGCAGGAGCAGTCACAGTGGTATTAGATGACTTGAGCAACATATGTATATGCTTGAATGGAAGTATGGCAACACAAGCCTTAGGCTCCTATAAAAAGTGTGGTGTCTGAAAAGAATTCCCCTAAGGATTTTGAAGCAGGTTGTGTCCCTGTTAAGGAAATTAAAGCAATGGGGCAGATGGCAACTCCTCTGATAAGGGGAATTTTTGAGGTTGTTTCTTTTTGTATCTGGACTGTCAGCATTCTGTTTTTTTTTACCTCCAAGAAGCAGAGAGACAATGAGATCCGATGCAGCCTTCACAATGCATGTATCTTCAGCTTGTGAACTACCCTGGAGCCTCAGCAGGATCTCGGACAGCACCTCTTGCACGCCTGCCTCCACCAACTGCACTTTCAGAGCATCTGTAGAGATCACAGTAAAAGCACACTAAAAGCTTCTTGGGTCTTTGTTGAGGTGTTTCAAACTAGGAAGCTAAGTCCTTGAACCTTAGCCAGTTTTTCAGGTGCAGCCACTGTTTTGGGTTGGTCTGTAACAGACATTCTGGTGCTAGGATGACACCAAGGCAGAATAAACAGAGCTTCTGCATTGATCTTTGACATTTCTTGTATGGCCAGTCATGAGTTTTCATTTCTTTAAAATCTACATCAGGTATCTAGATATTTTTAGTGGACTCTTGTTGGTGCTTGTTACACCACTGCATAGAGTAGACACCTATGATGTTGGTTGTAATTTTTTAGTACAAAAACAATCTGTCCAGTCTGCTTTCCTGTTACACACCATGGAGAAATATGAGTTTTAATCTGCTTTCTTATGGATCCACTGAAATAGAGTGGAATACTAATCTCTTCTTCCTCTCTTTGTTGCCTCACCTATTAAGCTTCAAAATCTTGCTTAGGACAGATTTCATATGTTCTTGTGGCTTATTTTCACTGAAGGGATTGCTGGTTCCATTAGTAGGATCCGATGGCAAACTTGGAGTTTAGAGCTTACGCTAAGTACCAGTACCCTGTTGGCCCTCACTCCCCCATGATGAAAGGAGCCTTACCATTTTCTGCAAGTGCTTGCAGGATCTCAAAGACAATTTCTAACCTCTCATGATTCTCTGCTCTTCTCAGTTGTTTCACCAGCTGTTCAGCAACCTTTGTCTTGCTTAGGGCTTCCTTGGCTGTATCTGTGTATATGATAAAGTCAGGATTTGAATGTTTCTTTATCTGATTAAATAGTAAAAGCATATCTCCCTACAATCTGAAGTGTTTAGACGCTAGTTTGTTTTTGAATGCTGCTTCATAGTGCTTTATAGACACTTCTGTCCAGCACTGAGACAGCAAAGCTCTGCTCCGTTCATTCTCTTCCCGCCCCTTCTTTCTTAAATAATATTTTTGTGAGATTCCTGTGGCTGTGGTCTTATAGCTGTCAAATTAATCCTGGCTTAATTCTGCTGACTCTTATAAATCCACCTGTAGTATGATTATTTAATATATCAAATTGGCAAAGACCAGTTTGCTGTAGTAGTATATTTTCTGCCTTGATTAGATGGTTCTAGCCTTGCTGGGATCCTCAACATCTACAATGTGTATGTTAACAAAGGTCAAATTCTTTTAAAGCTTGCTGCTGTCTGATGTAGAACACATTTGAATGGGATATGGTATTAAGTAATATAAGAGGTCTATAAAGGACAGACCTCACTAGAGGATGATATGACAGTGTGATACCATACTCCCTTCCCTGCCTCTCCCCATAAATGCAGGAAGCCTTAGATCAAATTTTAGACCATATCCAAAGGGTAGTAATAATTTTCTACTTGGGATTTTTTTTTCCATTATTACTCACAACTTGTGTGAAGTAGGGCAAATGTATTTTAAATCAGTGGAAATGCCTTTGGTTTGAAACTAATGTGGATGAAAAGGGAAGCTGTTTCATTAAGGTATATAAACTTAATTATGAAATAGAAATAATTTTTTAATAAATGAGTATTTAATGTACCATATCTGAAGTAGTTGAAACTGTCAGTTTACTACATGTAATGTTGCCCTCTGTACTTTTCTATAGCTCAAAAGCTGTCTATTAAATCTTAATTGTTTTAATATAGTACCAGCAATTGCTTGTACCCCAGGAAAAAGTAGTTACTTCTCCAGTACAGATACTGTTGCTAGTCCCTGATTAGGTATCTGTAGTGTTTGAAAAACAAAACCAAAAATACAGGCAAGCAAAGAAACAAAAAGCCAATCCAACCCCAATAACCCAACAAAAATGACCCCCCACAAAAACCCCAAAACCAAAGCAAAAAAAAAAATATCCCACAGACCTGTGGGTGTTCTGCATGTACATGGAAAGGCAGTGACAGTGTGAAGATGATATTTTGCTCCAAGATACAAAAACATTTACTTACCAAAGTCTGCAAGATTGCATAAGGCCAATAGATCAACATGGACAAGTGGTTCACTCTCAGCATAATCGGTTAATATTCGGACTAGGGATGTGATTACTCCTACCTTCACCAGCTCTTCCTGAAGATCCCCTGGTAAGAGTAAGCATAGAAGTTAAAGGTCATTAAATAGGGACCAATTAAATCAGTAACAAGGGTCCACCTGAGGGAGTTTGCAGCAGTATAGTTGGGTTCTTTCTTGCACAGTTAGAATTTGTACAGCTTTTGTGCTGTGGGTTCAGACTAATGCATGTGTCTGGGAAATGCAGGTTCAGGACAGAGTTGCTAAACCTCCTGGTTCTACTTTGACTCAAGGAATTAAGCCATTGTAAAAATATATAAGGACAATTGCATGAGCATCTCTGCTACTAGTGTGGTTTGTAAAGTGAGTTCTGATGGACTGTATATCTTGGTATGTATCTTAAAACTGAGAGAGGAACAGACAGTTGGCTTACTTCTCTCAGGGAATAGCAATCTCAGCTGCCTTGTCCTGCTTCTGTTCGGAAGGACAGGTAGATGAAAGGGACTGGAAACCCCAGATACAGCATAGTCTAGTGATGACTCTGCTTTCAGGGGTCAAGTGTTCTGACTTGTACAGTAAACGTCCATATACCTGCTTCTTACATGTTAGAATAATGATTTTTTTTTTTTCCCTTAAAAAAATTCTTTCTAAAACAAGACACTTCACCAACCTGGGCTATTATAAGATACCACTGAGAGACAGACTGCTTTTAAGTTGTTCTGGGGGAGTCATCCTCTTCCAGTTTTTTGAATGTTAGTTGCTCAGCACGTAGGGAGTCTTGAAGTGCTTGAATTCAAGATATCTTTGGAATTTTTATAGGCTAAGGTGCTCAAGCAGCTGTAAATTCATGTGACTTAAGGGAAGTGAATAAAGTAAGTAAATATTAATTTGATCTTGATTCTAGTATACTAATTACAGTTGTCTCTCTCCACATGCAGAATTGCTGAGGAAAAACACTGATGACTTTTCTTTCTTTTTGTAGTTTGTCTTGTAATGAATGAAAGCTTAATATCTAAACTGATTTTGAGAATGACAAGAACTATGAAGTACCATGTTGGACAGTGATGGTTGCTTAACAGTAGTAATGCTGGTGTACAGTAGTTGCATAAGCCTTGCATATAATCATATGGGGAAGGTTTTTTTTTTAAACTATTATGTGGCATTCCTTGGCAAATACATGTAATTTGCAGGGGACTAGTAGAGTCTGTACGAGGTACCTATCACACTTGGATTTCATAGGAACAGCGTGGGGAGGCAAACATAGCTTTCTAGATAAAGCTATGCAGGTCCACAGTAGAAAGATAAGAGAAGATAGGTTGAAGGCAGAGGGAAATGGATAGAAGATACTGGGTGAAAAGCTCCATATTACCTCCAGTATGCAATAAATACTTTTGGTCAGTCTGAGAATTAAAGATTAAAAAATTCTTAAACTCTTAGGGTAAGTAAATGAAAAGGGTTTAATTTGTGAGACCACCAGGCAAGCTAGTGTACTGTCTTTCTGGAAAAATCTGGAGCACAAAGATCTCCTATATGCAAGCAATGTCCTCAGAGAAGACCATTCCTTGTATAGATAAATATCTCAGTATTTTTTATTGTTTAGTGTATGTGTTTTCTGACACACTTTTTAAACAAATGTTTTGCTTTATAGACGCTATTATTACTTTGGAAGAAAACAAAGCTATTCGGGATTTGGGCCCAAGGCAGTTCTGCAAAATTAAGATATGTATGAGGCTGTGCTACTCTTGTAGTTGCAGAGCAGTTCTGACAAAGATGTGTCACCTTGAAGTCAAAAATACAGGGGGGAAACCCAAACTAGGAGGTGTTTGGGATGCATTCAACCTAGTATCTGTGAGCTATGTGAATTGTATATCTAACTGGAGGCTGAAGTGCATTGTGTGTTCAGGGACCATAAAATTATTATGAGCAACAGGTTACAATGCCTTATAAAATAATGCCTTACAGCTAGGGAAAATAGGATTCTCTCAAGTCGATACTTACGATTATCATAACAGATACGGCCAATAGCCCTCCCAGCATGAAGCAACATTTCTTGGTCTGTGCTCTCCAGCAAAGGTAACAAAGTTAGAACCAAATCTGCTTCAATACATGGTTTCTTCATTTCCTCTGTGTAGGTAAATGAGAGGGACGTGTGGGGTTTTTTTGACATGTTGAAATGAAACAATTGCAATTACAAGACTAATAGCTAGTAACCATGAAACAAAACTCAAGAGTGGAAACATACAACTAATGTGCTGTAGTATGGCTTGTAGTATCACTTTAGTACAACATACCATTCTTGGCTATCTCTGAAAGCACCTGGGCTGCTTTCACTGCACATCGTGGATTGCCCTTCAGGATTTTTGCCAAAGTCAGGAAGATCCCACTCTCTCTGAGTAGGCTGAAGGATCTGTGCTCTGTAATGATAAGAGCGTTAACAATACCAGCAGTAAATTTGCAACTGTTTTATTTACAAGTTGCTTTGTTTCCTAGGGTTCTGAGTAGATATGTGTGGGATCCAAGGTTCTGATTTAACAAAATACTTAAAGGCTCTCTCAGTCTAAATATATAGGAACAGTTATCTGCTTGAATTGCAGCAAGTGTAGTTCCAGCTGATTATTCCGCTTCATGCTGAATTTGAAGCACAGGTGGCAAAGCAAAGAGGAAAGCAGTTTCATCTTCTCTGACTTTAAGGGGATGCTTACATAAGGCATGGGAAGTCAGGGATTAAGATTCTATTCCTGAGGTATGGCCTAGCAATTAATTTTGTAGGTAGGCACAACATCTTTCATTAGACTAGCAATTAGAACAGTCAATTCCCTTCACCTTTTTTTTTTTTTTTTGTCAAAAATACGGCTAATTGTCCTTAAGGTACTAAATCACCATCTGCCAGGAGATTCAAACAATTGCAGGTTTATGTAATTTCAGGAGAATGTGCAGAGACCTGAAAGACTTTCTTACAAGGAGACTAGGAACTACCTTTTAAAATTCCTGACCTGGTAGGGTTGCCCCAATTTAATCCTACGAGTTTGTAGTAAATAGAATATTAAATTTGGATTTTCTTGGCAGTTTCAGGTGTTCTAGTGACCAGCAGCTTTATCTGGTTACAGGTAGATTTAAAAGGACACAAAGAGAAAGGAAAGCAACAATACAGGCTGAGGACAGCTATAGTTCCAGCAGCAATCAGTTCTTCTATAATAGAGATCATCACAATAGACAAAAAGCTCCAGTGAATGCTTTTGGATTTTGCTAATGGTTAAATAGTGATCTGGAGTGATACTTAGCTATCTTCAGTAAGAGCCAAGAGAATCCCATTCAGGCTTTCAAGGATCTGGTCTTCAGCCTCTGTGTCATCTCCACAGAGCCCAAGGTATTCCAGGTGCTGACTCAGGGTTTCTAAACAGAATGGGATAGAAAACTGTGGTGAGCCACTATGGAAGATAATCCTAGTTGCTTCTGGTATTTCTGTTCAGTGATGATGGCTGACCAGAAGATATCTCCTGAAGGGTCCAGATCTAAATATGCTCATTAAATATCAAATTTAATCCAAGAGCATGAAGGCAAAGGCTTGGTCCACTTCTCAGCACATAGCTCTTGTGCAGGCATAAACATGCAGAGGTAAATTCTAGCTGGAAAAAGGAATTAACATACAAAAACTGTGGCAGAGTTTGAGGTGGGGAGAAGAGAGAAATAATTAGAGAACCCAAATTAAGCCCATTATTTCTAAACACCTCTTTATGATAAAACTAGTGCTTGCAGTTCAACTAGCTGTGTACCTAGTCTGATAGTGGCCAGTAGCAGGTACTGAAGGAACACAAGAATAAAACAGGTATGTCATATATGTCTCCTTTAGTTTCTGGCAACCTTGGTCTTTAGAAACATACCTAGTATTTACATCAATATATTTAATACATTTTGAAGGACATTTATTCCATAACTTTTCAATTACCTCTTTAATATATTTCATACTTTTTATCTCCACAGCACACTATGACATTAAGTTCCACAGTTTCACTGTTGTAAGAGAAGATACTTCCCTTTGTTTTAAAAAAACTACTGAAGAGCTCAATGGCGGTTGAGTTTCTGTAGTAAGAGAAAGGAATGATTCTTCACTACTTGTCCTTCCAATGCTTGTTATAATTAGCTGGATTTTTATTATATCCCTCCTTTGTAATTCTTCTGCAAATTAATTTAATATTTTATTGACAGGAGCTTTAAGAAGTTCCTTATCTTTTTCCAGTCTACTTTTATTCTTTTTTTTTTTTTTTTAGGTGAGGAGCTAGAATTTGAAAGTGTTTTCAAGATAGGGGTGGACTGGGATTAAGACAGCGATTATAATGTTTTGTTTTCAACTTTTAAAATTCTTTGTCTATTTGAGAATGTGGTTGGTGCAGCTGTTCAAAATGACTCTATCTCTTCTGGGCAGAGGGAGTTAATTTAGACCCCACCATTACTCATAGTTAGGTCATCTTTTCCTCATGTATGTTGTTCTAAATTTACAGACACTGAACTTGATGTGCCTCTTTATCCCAAGTCATACAGGATGATAAGATGTTTCTGCAACTCTCTACAGTAGATTTTAATTTGAAATAATCCAAAAACTCTTTACAATTCTGATATTTCTAGATTGTTTATGAATATATTGAATGACACAGGTTCCAGTAAAGGTAACCTCTAATAATTTTGGCTCTCTATTATGAAAGGAATCTTTATTCTGCCTTTCAGACTTCATCACATAGCCTTCTCTCATATCCCAAGATAGTTTAGATGATAAACCTTATTTCAAGGTTTGTAGAAGTCGCGATGCATTGTTAACAGTATCTCCTTTATTGGGCATTACTTGCCGCCACAGAAGTCATATAGACTCTCTCCTTTCTTATCATACCTGTGTTTAGTAATTCTGTGCTTTACTATAATTCTACAATTTACCTATTCAGAGATCAGATTTCTCCACTTTAATTTCCTGCATTCCTTGGAACTGTTTTTGTAAACTCATGCCACTCTTACTGCTTTCCACCTTATTAATCCTGTAGTTGATTTAAATGTCACTCTGCATGTCACAGTTAATGATTTGACAATTCTTTTTTTTTAATTCCTTAGAAACTCTGGGGAAATAACATACAGTGCGGACAACTGTTTACCATTCATTTTATTGATTTGTTCTAAATCCTTTGCCCTTTCAATCTGAAGCTTCTTCCATCTACTTCCTGAAGACAAAAAGACCTAAAGTGGTTGAAATTAATATAAAAATAATGCTGGAAAACTGGTGGCTGAAGTAGTTAACTTATAGTAGCATATAATGTAAAGTACTACCAAAACTGTGGTAAAATAGCATTTCTACTTCACAGACTATTTAATTGAAAAAGATGAGCCTAGAAGTTCTTCAGCTGAGGATTAATAATTCATCGTTTATTTTTGTCTGATGGATTCACTATTTAGTGTTTTCTTAAGGTATCCATTAGTTAATGTGAGGGTTTTTTAAAATTAGAATGCATGAATTTAGTGCATACAAGAATTTATTTCAGAGGAACCAGAAGTATCTTGAGCTGTTTTGAAGAGAGGGAGAATTAAAGGGAGAGGAAGTAGAACATAATTAAAGGCTGTTATTGTTCATTGAGAAGAAAAATTCTTTGGCTTAAAAAAGTAAAAGCAGTTATTTAAGAACAACAGCAATTTTGTGCTTTAAAGAAGGTGCCGTCCTTAGAAAAATGGCTGGATTCATCAGGTTAAAAATCTGCATGGGGAAACTTAAATATTCTTTATTCTGCATAAGAGACTGAGGCTGTACGTATTGATGTCTCTTGGAAAGGCTTTGTAGTTGAAAGTAACTGTGTTTTTCTAGTTTCTTCAAAATCATATGCTAAGGGCAACACAGGCATAAAACTGATAAGAGAGCAATGGTTTCTAAAAAAGTAGATGACTTTGTATTTTGCCTTTTTTTATTAACAAAAACAGGCTGAAAACTCCTAGTACAGATGTACAACAAGGATGATTTTCTTTGACCTGCTTTAAAAAATTAACATTAATCACTGGTTTCCATTTCTGTCCAGTTCTCCTGCCATAATTTGCTGAATATATGATTTTGTATGAAATAAGTACATGTAGAATGCATTTTTCTTACAAAAAAAAAAAAAAATAATCACCTGAGCAACCTGACAGTTGAATTTGCTTTGATCTTAAAGTAGGTCTAGTGGGAGTGGGCAGAAGGCTACAACTGCTGATAGAGCAACATGAAATAAATTAAGAAAATGAAACTGTGAGAATGAATTACCTACTAAACTCTGACTTCATCCTTATCAAGATCCAAAGTGTTTTGGCATGAGGTAATGCATTTAACCTGTAGTACTCTATTTTATAATTAGAGCAGTAGTGATATTTGCAACTACCCTTCTAACACAGTTAGGATATAGAGAGAGATGAAAAGGCAACCGGATCTCTTAAGTTGGAGGAGGTTGTTTTACAAATAGCAGGGAACAATCTGTACTACTGGTCACTCATTAAGTTGGTATAGTGGTAATTAGAAATCCAGGTGCTTTGTTATTTCTCCAGAGAGTAGACCAGTAGAATAACACCATATGCACGATGACAGACAAAGTCCTTGTAAAATATCCCTCTGGTTACAGTCAGCAGTGTTGTGAAATTAGTACTATAAGCAGCAGAATTGACCAAGTAGCTGACTAAAAAGCTATTTTTATAAAAGGCAATATGTAACAGTAATAGTCTTGAAATACTGAACCCTTTTCTCAGATACTCAGAATTTTCTGTTATATGTCTTTTATAAAAACTTGATTAATTTAATCAATATGGGACTGATTCCTCAATACTCATTGTCTTTAAGTCCATGCTTATGAAGTGGAATTGAAGCAGACACTGTAAAACAGTTATTTTTGTGGAGAGGCAATAATAACAGCACACATACAGATTGTAAAGACTAAAATTGGCCAGAAAAGGATATTTCTGTTTTGTGGAAAACTGTGAGTTGTTAACATTTTGTTTCCTCCCATGCTGGAACAAAATGTCGACATGGTGGAACTTCAGGCGAAGCAGAAAAATTTGTTTCAGGTTTTTTTTGCAAAAGTGGTTCTTCCCCAGGCAGGGGCTGCCTGGCCTGCTGCCCAGCCAGCTGGTGGGCAAACTGGAAAGAAGCCAGCTGGGCTAGCCAGCTGGTCGGGCAGCAGGGAGTGCCTGCCCGCCTGGCTTCTGAGGGGGGTTTTAGCAGAATAAACATGTTCTCAAGGAATATTTTTTGTTTGCTTGAATCAGCATTTATATCAGAATATTGTTGATCAGCTTTAGTAATTCGCTGTAGAAGCAGGGGAAATGGTCTTAGGCTCTGGTCTGGAAAGCTGTAATTTTGCTTTCTCAATGGTTACCTGCAGGGTCTGAAATTAGAAATCTCTGGAGATTGAAGTACAAAAGACTTTCTTCCTGAGCTGAAGGGCTAGATTATAAATTTGCGCATAGATCTGTGCATGAGCTACTGAGTAGAGGCATAGGAACCAGCCTTTTGCTGTGGGAGTTGTTTTTTGATCATCATAACGAGTGCAGAAACAATAATGCAGAAAACATGTTGCACCACAGATTTCATTTGGCTTCTGCAGTTGGTGATAGATCCATGAGGCATGAGCTCTTTAGATCTCTTGGACCATTGCTGTGTCAATTCCCAGTGCAAGTTTTGACCTATAAACTTCTCAGGGAGTGAGAAAGAAGGAATTCCACATATCTTTATATTTTTCAGTGACTGATTATGCTGCCCCTAAACCAGCAATGCCTTATCTTTTTTTTTTTTTTTTTTTTTTTTTTCCATTTTATAGCCTTTCACATGTGTAGGAGCTATTTTCTATTTTTTTTTTTTTTTCTAGAGGAAATATAGATCATATCTTGCAATACCAAATGCTACATTCGGTATCATTTATTACTGTTTGGATCCTGAGCAGTGTGAAGTCAGTGATTCAGTATGTTTGAGGGCTTGAAAAAACTTCTTTCAGTTGAATGCCTAGCCTTGTGTATGCACCTTCAGTATTTTTTAGAAGATTCTTCCATGGACTTCTATTATTATTATTATTCAAAGCTGGAAAATAAGTTAGTGTATTCTTCTAGAACATAAAGATGTGGTAATTGTTTACAATAGAGGTCCATTTAGCTCAGTGTAATGTCTCTAGTAATAGATGATTAAAGAACAGTAAAAGAAGACAGTACATATCCTTTCCTTGGTATCCTTTCTCAACTTTTAGTAATCAACTCTTTAGGGATTTTCTTTTCTGGAAGTTTCATCTTGTTTAATTGCACTTAAATTCATGAAAGTATTTATTTTGAACTTGTTTGTAATTTAGCTTCCAGAACATAGATGGGTTGATGAGTTCCACAAAGTAATTTTGGATTGAGAGAGAAAATAA